CACGTAATAGCAATCAGCGAATTTCCATTTCCATTCAAACCACTGATATTTAAATGCGAGCAAATGAATGCACGAATCAGCCGGGCATCGAATGAGTGTAAGTGCTTGCCATTCGTACTCGCTTAATGTGGGTTTAATTAAAAAGAGAAAAGAATTTAAAAAATGCATATATAAAGAAGTGTGTCGTTTACCAATGAAAAACAATCGACATTAAATGGACAATGGCAAAGCCACGAGTACGTCATCGCAGGACTGTTCCCCCTGGTTACTCTTGATGCACCGTGGTGACGATGATGAGGATGAGTATGCCGCGGCAGAGCGTCCTGTTTATTAATGAGCTTGCATCGCTCCATCTGTCACGTGCAACGAGAGGCATTGCATGTGGCATGGTGTGGCTGGCCCCCGTCCATCCCTATTTAAATCAGTGGCCCAGGATAATCACAATCAAAATGTATGCAAATTGCGATGGGGGCATGGCTCCATCCAATTTAACAGATTCTTTTTTGCGACTGCTCTTCCGCTGTGGCCGCCCGTTGATGAAGAGCCGAGATGAACAGGAATGCAACTCCAGACCCAGACAACCAGAGCATACATACACACATAGTCGAATATGTATGGGTATTGCATGTATGTATGCATGGAAATTAATTAACGGAGTTAAGCTGGAGGGAAACGTAATGAAAGGAATTTAAGGTGGAATTTTTAAAATACTCCTACAGGGCAGTTGCTCCCAATTGAAACTGAAGCTGAAGCTGCTGCAGGAATAGATGGCAGAGAATGCAGCCGTAGAACTTGAATCAATTTGGGAATGTTTTGCAGTTAAGAGCTTCACCCATGAATTATGCTTGGCCATGTCCCTGTCCATGTCCAAGTCTCGGGACTGTTTCTTGTATCTACTGTTGCCTTGCCACTTGCTGCCTGTCGACGCCTCATTACCATCGTGGCCCCTTCTCTGTCCAATCCTTGCCCTGCCAACTGCACAAACACAGATAAACTTTTATGGTGCGAGGAGCAAGCTGCGCTCTCTTTCGCGTGTCTGGGATCCGGCGGGATCCGGCTACGGATACGGGCGCCACCTCGTTCTATTCTTTGTTGGTGTTTGCCTTTCGAGTGCACTTTAAGCACCGAAGTTTGTTAATGCGAATACGTGAGCGTTGCTCAGATTCCCGGAAAGCGGCCCATCAACTTACGGCTCCACCTCCTGCCCCTGCCTGGATTAGGAGCCAAAGTTCGAGGTGTGCTGGCGAAACTATTCAGAAACAACAAAAGGAAACGAGCTGTCTATTTTCATTTTCGTTTAAGCAAATGTCGGAAATCTCGTAATACCAAATGCAGCACAAAAACACAGCGGCTGAAATTTCTTCTATTGCCCTCACCTGAACACACACAGCCTCAGCTCATTATTAATGTTCCAACTTCGATATGCCTCCCACTGAGCGAGCGCTCTCCATCTCCCACTCCCACCTTATGTAACCCAAAATGGGTGGCATCATTGTTACGCCAACACCAACGCCAACTACTCTACTACGGCCGCCAGCTAATGATGGCGGAGTGGGTTTGTGCCTGTGCCTCTGCCTTTGCCTGTGCCCAAGTGTTGGGTGGGAGGCTGGTTGGTTGATGCTCTGGGGCAGCATTAATAAATTCCGCACGTACTGAGCCCTCCATATAAATCTGTTTCAAGCATATCCTTGAAAATTGCAATTGCAAAGCAGCAGTTGCCGCAGTGGTGCGAAAAAGAGGAACAGCGCCGAGCCAAGCTGCCAAGGCAGCTCAGAAAAAAATTAGATTGGTATGGGGCTGGCTTTGAAGGGGGAACCGGGAACCAAAAAAAGAAATAAAAACTGAACGCACCGCTTTCCAGGCAGTGAAAGAACAAAAAGCAAACTTCCAGGCAACGGAAACAACGGACACGACGAGGCCGTTGCCGAAGACGACGAAGTCCCTTTAGGGGACCTGCCCCACGCAAACAACTATTACAGTCAGGCAGGCGTTGGTGTGGTGTGTGTGTGCGTGTGTGGCACATATTGTGGATAAAGCCACGGATAAAATGTCCTTTGGAGGGGAAAGGCCAACTGCAACAGTTTGCGCTCACTTCCAGCGCCTGCGCAGTTCGTGCCACCAGCCAAAATCGGGCCGAGCAACAGCAACAGGCTGAAGGAGCAGCCTAACACACAATAGAAATCTAACTGAGAGAGGGGCTGTGGCTGTGGCTGTAGCTGTGACTGTGGCTGTGTCAGTACAAAAATTGCAATGCCAAGCCATGCATTTTTATGCCATCGTCCCTGCCCCAATGGCCTGTTCATGGTAGGTACTCTTGTGCGTTCTTCGTGAGACCGAAAGTTCATCGAATTTGATTATTGTTTTCCATGGATATTTCATTGTCAGAGTGGACGTGGACTCCTTGTGGCCCCTGATAAAGTGCTTGATAAATGAATCAGCCCGTTAAGCGCAATGGAGCTGCGCTCAATGCAAACCCAACTAAACTTTCGAATAAAACGGAATATTATGCAGAGGCACAAGTCCGTGTCCTCCTTTGTCTTGGAACTGGTCCTGGTCCCTGGTCCCTCGTCTCTGCTCCGATGCCACCGATCCGCTGCTCTCGCTTTCGCTCGCTCTCTTGGTGCCCCCAGCCAGCTGCTGCTGCTGCTGTGCTGCTGTGCTTATTTAAAATTTATGAAAACGCATCATCTGCACAGCACGTTCCATTATTTGCCAGATAACTCAGCAACGGGCGGCGGCGGCGGCAAATGGCACGGCGAGCACGCGTCCAAGGACCACCGCCACAGTCCGTAGACTCGCAGACTCTTTTACCTTTACCTGGTCATATGTGGTGCCTCCTGCGTATGTCTCCTCCATGTGTGTGTGTGTGTGTTTGTGCTACGCAAACAAACAGTGGACATTTTTCAAAAGGTTCGACGACTAGCAGCGGCAGCAGCAAAAGCAGCAGCAGCAAGAAGCATCCCTCCAGGATTTATGTGTGTAATGCGAAAAATTCTTAGCAGCAAATGCTGTAAATTTATGTGTGGCACCCACTCGACTAGAATGTGTGCCCTGCTGCTGCTGGTGCCTGGAATGTCTGTGTACGCGTATGCGTGTCCAAGGATATTTGTGTTTAACCAAGCATAATCCTATTAAATGTGACAGGGGACGACAATTGGCTGGATTTTTGGCCACGACAGCGATGCTTGTACTCGCCCTTGCACCACTTGCCAGCAGGACACAGCACGCCGCATCCGGACAGGGCAGCAGCCATCAGCTGCATTGTCAGGACCACGACCACTGGAGTGTATTAAAATATGACAAACTGTTTTTGTTTTTCCCCCGCCCGACTCTACGACTGCACTGAGAGAAAAAGGAGGAATACCTTTAGACAGTATCCATTCCGCAATAACGATATTATGCATTAAAGCGATTGGCTTGAAATGGAACTCATATATTTCTGAGTGTATGTAATGTACGATGTGTTTACGTCTGTGTCCTGTCCCTGTCTGCCTCTCCTCTCGCTGTGTTTTGTGTGCACGCCACCCCACCCAAAATGAGATTTTGATTAATGCGTCAAGCAAGGGTTAGATGTTGGTGGTGGTGGTGGTGCGGCGGTTGCATTAGCGTCATTGCCAAAATGCCCGCAGCACTGGCGCAGCCCTTCTGCATGTGAAGGGCTCCCCAAATGCAAATGCAACTGCATCAAGTGGCAGCCAGTGGGTGAGATGCGGCACAGGGGCGGTCAAGGGCACGTGGAGACTCCCACATTCATTTGTCTTACTCATCGCAGCGCAGGGGAGCCAGAACCTGCCAGGCACAGGAGCATTGCACTTGGCACATGCAACATGCAACAGACAGCGGCAGTAGCGGCAGCGGCAGCAGCAGCAGCAGCAGGCAACAGTGCAGCATCTACGTCAGCAGAATCCTTTCCTCAGCGCTCAACAGAGCTTAATTCAATTGGTGGGCATGGAATATTTAAAATGCTGACGCAAGTGCACCTTAGTGTAAGTCTCTCCCTCCCTTTCTGTCTCTCATATGTTGCGCACTCCAAATCGTATTATGCACCGTGCACAAAGTAGGCAACGTGAGCAAGTCTCAGTACCAGTTCCCGTCCCCGTCCATGTCCGCTGGCCTGGGGACTCTACACGTTTCCTTTCCGCTCCAAACTTCTTCTACGCACACAGATACGCGTACTCGTACTCATGTTCATATGATGTGAGCATAGAGCATGAGCCCTGAACGAATTCTAACGATTTTCACATTAGCAATCCGCCCCGTACCGTACCATTCCACGCCCTCGGACCTCGTACGCTTCTGGCAGCTGTCTATCTATTTGACTACCTGAACAGACGATGTCGGAAGACAGTCTGTTATGCGTTCTAGTTGTAGAACTCGCTCCCATTCCCATTTCCATTGCCATTGCCGTTCTCTAAAGTGGCAGCGTCTTCCGCTTTTCCATTCACTCCACGACAGCCTCGGGAGGAGGCTTCCATTCCATCCATACACACACACACACACAAATATGTATGTATTTCATATGTATCTCATAGATACGCGCAGTACTAGAAATTCCCTTATTGTTCAGCTTTAACAATATTTTAAATATTCCTTTCAGCGGGAATTGCGTTATGCGAAATGTCAATTTTGTTGCGATGCTGCTGCGGGTGCGGTTTGGGGTGGGCATACCTGTTACATAAATCACTTACCACATAGCATCAGCACTTCGCTGTATAAAAATATATGAAATATGCCTATTTATAGAGATGTCTGTGCCTGTATTAAATTTTCGATCCTATTTTTGGTGGTCCTTTTAAGCCGCACAACTGATGCTGCCCGCTGGAAAATATTTGCGGGCAAATCCATTTGACATAATTATACGCCCACGGCAGTGGCAGTGGCAGTGGCATGACAGCGGCAATCCTCCTTGGAAAGATTCATCCAGTAAAAGCTTATGCCTACGCTACCGCCAATCCCCATTAAGTACAGCACAAATTAAAGATTGAAAAGAATTTGTTGGCTTTAAATAAAAATGCATACAATTGGTTTATTATCATTCGTTTTTCGTTTGTTTGTTTTTTCTCTTAGTTTCGGTTCAATAAAAAGTTGAGTTTACACACTAAATATCAGCAAAGGTATTACATAAAATTGCTTGTAAAGATTTTTACATTTACATATGTATATCAAAGTTGAAACTTAAATCGCATTAGGATGTCGACAGTTCACACTCGTTCGGTTGTGCTTATGCATGGTGTTTGCATGCTAGGGATTACAACTGGACGATGGACGCACTTACAGATTGCTATTCACTATTATTTACGATACACGATATACGATATTTGATTTGTGTTTCCATTCGTTTCGCTTTGCTTATGGATACAACTACTTAGAGGAGTGTACGCCCCAAAAAAATGCGGGCAGTCGGAATGCTGAGAGGCGGATCAGAATCATATCATCGTTAATACTTCAGACCGCTGCTGCTGCGACTCGTATTAATTCTTGTGCTAAAACATAAAATGTATGATAAAATTTAATTGGCGGAAATTAAAACGAAGCCCATTCAGGAAATGGATGCAGGGACAAACTATAGTAAGTATACATACACGTATGCAATATGCAAATGATAGTTAAATTCAAACAAAATGAAATTATTTAATTCAATTAAATAAGATTTTTGTTTCTGGTTGTATTAATATCGTTCATGAGGGTTTCGGGATCGGGCAGCTGGATGGTCTTTGTGTGGTTGCTGCACAACATTAAAATTTACGATTAAACTCTGGCAAATTTTCATCTTTTTGTTTTTTGTTTTTTGTTTTTTTAATTTGCAATGATAATATTTTGCTTCATGATTAGTAACAAATGAGTTTTTGTAAATGCAGGGGACACGTTATTTGCACAATTAATTAAAATTATCAATACATATGCGTACATCGTACATACATATGTATGTACGCATATATACATATTTACATATGTATACAATTAGTGGGAAAATAATGGACAGTGGCTGTGTGTCGGTGTGTCTGTGTGTGTGCGTAAAGTGGGAAATCACATACGAACCACATGGCGTATACGCAATTTCATCTTTTCCTTCCTTCCTTCATTCCTTCATTTATTCCTTTTCCTATTTCTTCTTTCCCTTGCGCTTGTTCTTGTTGCGGTTATTGTTGCCATTGCCACCGCGATTGCTCTGCTGTCTGGTGGTGCTCTCCGGACGGGGAATGCCACTGGTAACAACATTGGAAACTGTCCTCGTGGTGGTCACCACACTGGTGCTCGGGTCGCCAGCTGCCGCTGCCGCCGCCGCCGCCGATGACGATGTTGCTCCCTGTCCGGCGCCAGTTACAGCCTCTGTGGTCGTGGTGGTTGTCGTGATGGTCTCGCCCTGCTGCTGGTCGAAGATCTGGCGCTCCGATTCGCCGGCACTCAGCAGACGGTTGAACAGAGCCTCGCCCGACTCCGAGGGCACCTTTTTCTTCTGCTTGGTCACCACCTCCGTGACGGTTACGACCGCCGCACTGTCACTGGCAGCGGGCAGGGTGTAGGTGCGCTGCGTCTCCACCACAGTGCCGCCATCGGCGCTGAGCAAATCTTCGACAGATTTCCGCAGCTGCTTTGAGATCTCGGCCAGGGCACGCTGCTCGGCCTGCAGATGGGCCAGAGTGTCGGCACCGCACTTAGATTCCGCTGGAACGTTAACAGTAACTGAAACAGGATCAGCCTCAGCTTCGGGTTCGGATTCGGATTCGGAGTGCTCCTTCTCGGCCTGCTTCATGGTGGTGTAGGTTTGCGATTTTTGCAGCTTGCTGCCGGTGGCCAGCGTATTGAGATTCTCGATTACCTGGGCGCCCTGCACATAGGTAACATTCAGCTGATCTTCGGCATTGTCCTCCTCGTCAGAGTCATCGCTGTCCTCGTCTGATGAGTCGCTGCTCTCCTCGTCCTCCTCCTCATCCTCCTCGTCATCATCGTCGGACAATTGGCCTGCCAATTTAGCAATGATTGTGTTGCGGTTGCTGTCCTTTATCAGCTCCTCGAGCAGCTGCTGATTGCCGTTCGCGGCATCATCCTGGTCATTAGTTCCACGGGTCGTGACCGGGGCAGCACCAAAGTCAACAACATCGTCAATGGCATCACCGTAGGCGCTCCTCTCGTCGTCGTCCCTCGCATCACCAAAGGCATCCTCCCCGTCCTCGTCCCCATCGTTGTCATCGCTGTGCTCCTCGAGGCTCTTCTGTAAATTCAATTTGACGCGCTCGTTCTCCAGCAACTCCTCGAGCACAGTTTTCATTTTTGCATTTAATGACAGCTCAGACCTGCCTCCGCTCTGTGGCAGTACAAATGTTTCGCTACGCAGCACGGACACGGCCCCCTGCTCGAATTCGTCATCGTCAAACGGCACCCCGCTCACGTGGATGGTGCGGGCACTGCCATCACCCCCGATGACGGGATTCAGGACCTCCACGATGGTCGTCTCCTTGGCCAGAGTCTGGTGTAGAGACAGCGGCGTGGGCTTGATGCGCACCTTGCCGGAGGCGACGCTCTCGATGGAGGACGGTCCGTAGGCATCCGAATCGTGACGCAAAAACAGTTTCTCATTATTTCCCTGGACGGTAACAATAGAGGAATCATCTTCCTCCTCCTCCTCTTCTGCAGCATCTTCGAAATCATATTCATCCTGCAGCTCCAATGGCGGCTGTGTCTCATCCAGAGTGCCATCCTCCGACTCGGGCACCTGCAGCTCCAGTGAAATGATACGCTCCTTGCAGGTCTCCACCTAAGTACATGGGAGATGCGGAGATACGTTGTGCATTTGGGTTTTGCCAGCACACTAACTTCTAATGAAAGCAACCAAAGAAAGCAACAGGCAGGCAGGCAGGTGTCCCCAACCAGAAGCATCTAACAATCTACATGGTGTTCATGGAAGCAGGCGCTTCAAGGCGCTCAAATTCGAATGAAGCTAATTTATACAGCGAGGTGGAAAATGAACATCTTGTGACTGGGTGAATGGGTGAATGGTGGGTGGAGTGCGTGTAAGCCAGCCCAAACAGAAGGTGTGTTAGTACAATGAAATTTAAGTTAAAGGAGAGGGCGAGGGCGGGGTGCAAGAGTCATTAGTAATTGTGCAATGAGAGCGGCAGGGGGGGCGGGGGGAGTATGCGTGCAAAACTTTCTTAGGTTCAGTTGTCTAGAACTAATCTGATCTGATCAGGGACAGTAGATGACTAGCTGTCTGGCCGTCGAGACGTAATCTCTAGGTAAATGTGAAGTAGGCACGCACGATGGCAGCCATGTCGTATACGTGATATGAGGCAAATTGACAAACGACTGCTTCTAGGGGGAAAATTGCCTGCATTTTCTACTTGTCAAAGTAAAAGAGTCCTGCATCGAAAGATAAGCTGAAACTAAGTCCCTGCCGTTTCTCCTCATGCTACAGCTACAGCAGCTACTGCCGCTGACAGGCACTGTGCAATCGGAGAACAGAGGCTGGCTGCCTGGCCTCCTGCGGTGCAGTGCATTCTGTGCAACGGGGTCAGCCTCTGGCCAGGAGGCTCACAAGGCAAGGCAAGGCAAAGCAAAAGTTTCTCTCCAGCAGTCTGCCTACAGCAAAGTTTTTTGCACTCGAATTACCCGGACTGAAACCACAACCAGCTTGTGCTTGGGCTTCAGCTTCAGCTTCCTCTTCAGCTTCAGTTTCAGCTGCAGCTCCAGGGCCAGTGAATGACATTCTCTCTAGTGGATGATGGGGCTGGGCTTTTGGCGTCTGATGGCCTTTCCTTCCGTTGGCAAATTGAAAAGCAAATCAGAACCGTTTCCAAACCGAAACACGTGCCCCCAAAAATATAACAATAGCACATAAAATACTTTGCGTGTTTGTTTATTTGTGGTTTTTATTTGCATTCTCGGTGATACCCTGAAACAGGGCATTAAGTTTTTAGCCAGCTTTTTGCAATTCATTGAGGGAATCAGCTCTGACTTATGTGTTCTTCAGCAAATATCAATAAAACGATCGTTTTGGAAACTCCCGTGTTTTGAGTTTCATTTTTTAGATCGATCTCGGGCTACTGTTTCGCATAACTAGTATAGGACAAATCTATCTGCTAGGGTATCAAAAGCTTCGGCCCTCGGACCATTGTTGTTTTATATTTATTTATTTTGAAAGTCATTAAAACGGGGCTGCCGCAAAACAAAAAAACTTTTGCTTTAATTTTAATGGAGTGGGCCATAAAAACGCTGCGCGTCATTATAATGCGTTTGCATACTTAAAATGGTATCCAGAATCAAGCCGAGGCTCCCAAACGACGGTCGTCTTCGTCGGTCGACCTGTTCGCTGTCGCTTTATAGACACGTGACAACAACAAACCCTAAAAACAGACAATGAAACTCTTTGAGGGTTCGAGACCCTGAAGTTGTGGTATGCAGAGGGGCGTCTTAAAACCGCGACACTCAAACATCAACAATAACTGGAAATGATTTCAGACCCCGCGCGCGTACACTGACTCTGACTCTCGACTCTGCGAAACCTTTTCGCGTAGGTGGCCAACAAAAGGGGCTTATTGTCCTTTTTATGCGCTGCACTTCAGTCGAGGATGGACTGGAGGATGGAGACGCCTGGAAGGCTGGTGGTGGTTGGTGGACTCCTGACTGCGACCACCTGGTCGCGTAAGCCGGAGAAATGTCAACAAAATCCCCATGGCAGCCGAGAGTGCTTCGCGGATATTAAAATTTGTTTTACTCAACAACATTCAAGCCGGAGACACCGAAAGACGGAGAGTTTCCTTGATAGAATGCACAGACAACAGACAAAAGCAGGCAGGAACAGGACACGACCTCGACAGACCATAAAAATGATGAGCTCTATAAAATAATTAAGACTGTGCGGGAGACGGGATTGTGGGTGGATGTGGGGACTCCTATTCGTGAGATGTTTGCTTTGTACAATGAGAGACAAAGAGTGCTGCTGGATCCGTTCAAGTGCTTTGTGGGGTGCAGTAAATGTTTAGGAGTGTGCAACCTGATAACTACACTACGCAACAATCTACTCGTGGATGAAAGACGCACAAACAAGAGGCGGCAACAACAAAAACCGAAAATAAGTATGTACTAAGCTAAAAAAAATAAAAAAAAAATCACAACAGAAAGGAGAGTATCTAAAACGCTTTAGCATTGCTCCAACGAAACTCAAGATGGGTGCCAATTGGATATATATTTACAATACGGATAACTGTTTTGCTTTGGTTTGGATTTAATTTTGATTTTGTATTTAGCTAACCTCCGTTTCGATGATTTTCTCAATGTACTCGACGGTCCGCAGTTGAGGTCGCCCCGTTATGGGGCAGGCAACCTCCTCAGTGCGGCGCACGATTTTCTCGTCGAGTATTTTCTCGCGTTCGCGTACAATTACTGGACCGTCGCTTGATTTTATGGCAATTTTTGGAAATACTATTTTCAGCTGAGCCTGATTAGTGGGTAAACAATAATAGAGAGGGAGAGAGAGAAAGATGGAGGGTTTGGGTTGGGGTGAGAGAAAGATAAAGATAGAACTTTGATTGAAATATAATTGGAGCGAGCACTTCATTCGTTCTTTATCCCCTCTCATCATTAGTCACATTCGAGAGGTTGGGGGTTTGGGGTTTAGTTAAGGGTTATTATCTTGCAGTTAGTAAAGCAAACCATATGTAGCTCTTTTCTTAGTTATGTTCTCGGGCAGGATCGGGCCATTCCTTGGGGCGTATCGCGCGCATGTTAATGGATTTATGGTTTTTGTTTTTTTTTGTTTGGGGGGTTTTCGCTATGGGTTCGGTTAGTGCTCTTAATCAGCAGCCCTGTAGATGGACTTACCTCGCTGGCCCTCGACTCGTGCGTGATCAGATCGTCGGTCACTTTGCGCATATTCTTGATGACATCCTGGGCCTCGACGGCGCCCTGTTCGAGCGACCGGAGACGGGCTGCCCTCCAGGAGGCGCGCTTCTCAGAGCTACAGTGAATGAAAGTAAAGTCCATTAGATATGTCTTTGTGTTGTGGGGGAAACTCTTGACTACTGAATACGGCCGACAGACAGAATCTCAACTCCAGCTGAAGCAAAAATAATTACAAAATGTGTCTATTCTATTGTGACTATTGTATTTACACAGAGAAAGAGAGAGAGACAGAGTGACAGAGGGAGAGTACAAGTGGGGGGGAGTAAGAGTGGTAAGAGTGGTAAGAGTGGTAAGAGTGGGTGTGGCCTGAACAGTCACCGCAAACTAAAACAAAGATGGGAGAAGTAAGGTGCTCCACCAATTGATGGATACTATACAAGTAGAATACATAGGTCCTAGTATATACGGAAACATTGAGGGATTCATATTTGCCTCTCCTGTGTGCGGGCGGGTGGGTGCATTCTTGTTGTGTGTTTGTGTGTATTTGTGGCCATGTGTTATGGGTGTAGGCTGCACGGTCGAGCCCAAATGGGGATTGTCTTTGTCTATTACCCTCGAATTAGCTACGCCTACAGCGTATACGCCTATACGGGTAAGCAGATGCTTGACCTGTGACCTGTAACCTGCGACCTTTCTGTGACCAGCTCCAACCTGTACAGTGTGTACACCTGCACGCATGTCAACTCTTTGACCGGCACGCATATAACTTACTTAATCATGGCCCGGCTCTTGCCCGTGGGCGTTGTGGGTGAGTGTGACTCTGGCGTTGTTGGCGACTCGCCCTGGAGTCGCTCCTCCTCCAGCCGCCTAATGTACTCGTCGACACCCAGGCCCGATTGGCGAGCGGCCGCTGCCAGGGCGCGGCGTTCAGCCTTCAGGTTGAACCGCACCGGTATGCGACTGCTGGTGGGTGATGTCGCCCCCAGCTCCTCATGCTCCTGAGGCTGCCCCTCCTCGGGTATGGTGGGCTCCTCTGGCTGGGATTGCTGCTGTTGCTGGTGCTGTTGCTGGTGCTGTTGCTGGTGCTGTTGCTGGTGCTGTTTCTCCTGCTGCTGCTGCTTGAGCCGCTGCTGCAGTGCTGTCGGAATGACAACTTTGACCTTTGGCTTCGGCAGCAGCGAGGGCTTGGGCGGATCAGTTGCCGTGGCAGGTGCCGTGGCAGCTTTGATGGGTTTTGGTTTCTCCTTCTGCTTCTGCTTGGGGATTTTGCTGATTTGGCTGATTTTGCTGGGGGCGTGCGGCATTGTCGGCGCCAGACTTTGTGCGGTTCTGTCATAATTTTGAGATTTGTTTTTTGTTTTTTTTTTTTCGGTGTTCGAATTGTGCAAAGTAAAACACACATTTAATCAAAAAATTTGCATATTGTTTCGACAAAAGGGGGGTGGTGGTGGTGGTTGGTTGTGAAATGCGGTTAGCACGTGATATGAGCAGTTACAGACATAATGACGTTAATTTCTTTTAGTCACACACTCACACATGCCGTACGGGGCACGTACTTTCCCCCAGTTACCGAGTTTCCCAGTGCTCAAACTTTGGGATAACAAGTCGAATTTGTTGTAATTAAAAACCAAGAAACATACTGTAAAGTTTTTCCACAAAATCCGTCCAGTCGTCGGTAGTCGTCCCACTCCCAGTCCCAGTACCAGTCCCCAGTCCCTGACAAAATCACTTTTTGAAAAACTTTGCCAACAAGTGCAATAACATGGCAGCTGGAGATTAGCGTGTTGGGGCTGGCTGGCTGGCTCCTCCTTCGAGCAGCATGTCTGTGGAGTCGTAAAACTTGGCAAACGTCTCGCACTATATAACTATACATATACATGTACATACATAGATATGCATACATACATATACTATATGGTATGGTATATGGTATGCAAAATTTAATTTTAAATAAACCGTCTGAGAACTATTTGCAAGAGGATTTTACTTTTTCCGTTTTGCCTAAGCTGCTGGGTATCTCCTATGCCTGGGCTCTGGTTCTTCGTCTCTTCTTCCTATTTTTCTTGCACCCAACTGGCTTTTGTTTTAAACAAATTGCTACACACTTTCAATTTAACTTTAATACGAAATTATTTCGCACAGAGCCTCAGCTTTGGCTTTGGCTTCGTCGTCTGGAACTACTACACGGCGTTAGTGGCAACAACTTCTGCTTGAGTGATTTATGTTTTTCAATTTGAGGGCCGCCGGCGTCTGCGGAGGGAAAGTTTTTCGTTGAAGAATTTTCACTACCTACGAATGTCACGCCTGAGAGGCGTCCGGAGAGGTTTGCTTCTCGCCCAGCCGCATGGAGAATGGAGAAGGGCAGATCTTGACCCAGGGAATTGCACTTATAATATTCTCCTGATTCTCTTCTTGCTCATTTCTTTATCCTGGCATTTGCTTGGCGCTCCGCTCCTTTTATTCATTCATTTGTCCTCTCGACTTTTTAAATGAACTTTGCTCTGACACTCAAGCGCGTACCGACATACAATGGCTCCGTCCTGGGGTTCCATCGTCGCAGTGCTAGCTTCTAGCAGTCCTTGCGCTTCGGGAGAACTCCCCCACTGAAGGTATTTGAGCGCGCTCAACTTTAGCAATTGACAGATTTATGCAATGGGCGTGGGGCGGTTGGCCTCCCACTGAACTTTTTCCCTACCGAGGAACAAAAAAATAAAAAAACTACTCTGCAAGTGAACTGGTAGATTGTTGCCCGCTTTCAATTGCTAATTGCTGCATTCCCCCGTCTCATTATGATGGAGGGGCCAGTGCTCGTTCTACGAGTACTATAATCAAAAACACTTCCAATAAACGTCCGCGGCATGGATTAATAAGTTGTAATGTTGGTAGAGTGGGTGGAGAGAGTGAAAAGCGATGCAGAAACCACAACCGAAGAGTGCTCAAAAGTTGGTTAAAGTTCAAACAATTATGCAACGATATAAAGTAGAAGCAATAAAACTAGTTTCGATTCATTCACCTTTATTTCTAGTTTAATGAAATATTACTCTTTCTTTTTTGTTTGTTTGGTGGCAAAACAACAGAAACACATTAATATGTTTGTATGTGTATGGCACTAATCGATGTTAAATAAATACAGAAGTAATAAAAAATGTGGCATGATTAAATATAATGACAGTGATGTAGTATAATGCAGGTGCTGGCCATAACCATAACCAATATATATATATTTAAATTAATACATGGATTAGCAGTGCTTAATTATGCTTTTCTTATTGTTCTCACATTAACATATAAATATTGTTGCATTTATTTATAAAATATATCGAAAAATGTAACGCTGCCTCGACACTGCTATTCGTGACGGATAAAACTTAACTTTCTGGGGCTCAATCAATTGATGTACATGTACTATGGATAGATAACTATTAAAACTAACTTCAAGTCAGGAACATTAAACACTAATCATCTCACAATGGAATCCCCTATAACAAAACATTTGCAAAAGCAATGCCCTAAATGACACACACAGAAAATTGGCTTTATCCACGGAATCGTGACTACTATATCAGTAAGAATGAATATTGTATTTGCGGCAATTAAAAGCCATTCACAAAAGGACAGCCATTCGTGGTAGAATACGGCAATAGTGAAGAGTGTCCCTCTGTATCTCTGGTCCTGCGCTAAAAATCATTATTTTTAATAACAAACATTTTTAAAATGCAAAATGGCATATAAATTATGCAAGCAACAAAACGCCACGCCAAGGCACTCTGTATCTGTGTGTCTATCTGAGTGTTAGTGTGTCTATGTGTTTGTGTTTGTGTTTGAGTTTGAGTGAGTGTGTGCATTTTAAAAGCGTTGAAGGTGTGTGAGTGTGCAGGTGGTATACTCAAAATTTTCAAGTGCTGGCAGCCCGGACAGGGTCTCGTACTCGTACTCATACTCATACTCGTACTCGCACTCACACTGCAGTGCAGTTGTACTCATACTCGTGCTCGTACTCGTAGTTCTGGGAGGAGAAAAAGTTGGCCAATTTGAAAAGAGAGAAATAATTAGGCTAATAAAATGCACAAAAATAAAAGGTGGGCGGGTCGGTTGGGCGTGCACACACAGCATTAACACCATGCTTATCAAGTGTGCGGGGTGGGGCGTTTCTATGTGTGTGTGTGTGGCAGTAGTTGTCACTCCATAAAGTTCACGCTCGTAAAAAGTTACCGTATCGTATAGTCGTATATATAGTAGTATAAAAAATTACTTTATATTATAGGTTAGTTAGTTGGTTGTGTTTACTGCTTGCTGTAGTAGTAACTTATAGTCTGAAAAGTCTCGTGTCGAAATACATATCTTACACACATATAGATATACAAATACATATAAATATACATGTACATATACATATATAAAGGTTAAAGTTTAAGTTTAAGTTATAGTTGTAATTGTAATTATAGTTATTGTTAATAAACGTGTCACATTCTCACAACTGTGTGGTCGGTGTGTGTGGTGTGTGGTTTGAGCTGTGTCAGAGCTTATTTTAGTTTTAACATCTAAATACTGCTTCAATTTCATCAAGTGGATTCCTGGAAAAGTGATTGGGAAAAGCAGAAACAGAGAGAGAGTTTGTTTGTTTGTTTGTTTTTGTTGTTATGTAAAATCCAAACAGGTGCAGAGAGTCTCGCTAATTGTAAAATAATAAACACAGTCAAATTTCCACTCATTTTTTTTTTGGTCTGGTTCTGTTTTTGTTGAGCCGGGGTTTTGATTAATATTTATGCCCAACGAAAAGGGCAAACAACAAACAACAACAAAAAAAAAACACATACTATAGACAGCCGAGAGAGGCAAAATAAAAATTAAATAAAATAAAATAGACTGAGAAAAGCATACAAAAAACATCATTAACGCCCTCATTTTTAGCTTAAGGTCAAATTATGCTTTTATATCGGAGACACAGACACAGAGAAAGAGAGAGACAACAGAGCATTCTGCGATTTGCATATGCGGAGCAGCAGCAGTAGAGGTGGAGTGGCGGCGGCGGGGCGGGTATGCGGACGCGGTCCATTTGTGGAACGAACGAAGCGCCAACGCCATAAAATATAAATTAATTTATGCGCAATCAACAAAACATAAATATTTTCATCTGCATAAAATCACAAAAACGTCCAAAAGTCCAAGAAGCAAACGGCCGCAAACATATACATTTATAAATGTAAAAAACAAAAAAACAAAAAAGAGAAGCATCAGCATCTATCCAATCTGCGGCTGTCGCCATCTCCACTGACCACCAATTGTCTTGTCGCGTCCAAAAGATATTCAGGGTCAACCGCTGCGCCAAACCGCATGACCAAAAATTAAATCCGAAAAACCAATTGAAAGCGAGAGCGAGGGAGTTGTATGCCAGTCCGAGTTCGAGTTCGAGTCCGATCATTGGCCGGGCCAAGCCTTGGCTAACAGACGGGGGAGACGGACGACCAACTAATAATAGTTCATAAATTATCAAACAATAAATTAGACGATTAATGCACGACTAAGAATTCGATTGCGTTTTGCCGCCGCCGTCATTTCGTCGCGTCGCGTCGTCTTTGTCGTCACGGAAGCCAAACCTCTAATGTTGCCAAAAAAAAAAAAAAAATACAAAAAAGACAGAACAAAAAAAAAATTCATAAACACGGATCTGGCGAGCCTTTTGTGTTTCACCGTTTTTATAGATTTAGACGAGTTTAATTTGAATATAAATACAAATAGTTTTGGAGAACATTGCTATTGCCGGCTAATTTGATATCTGGGGTTTTTCTATACATAACATTCTTCTGCTCTTGCTCTGGCATTTGCTTTTTTTGTTTGTTTGTTAAATTTTTATATGCTAAATTTTATGCATAAGAACAGGAAAAAAGATACCGACCATGGGAGAACTAGTAGAAATTCTTGCTAGAAATTTATTACAAGGTTATTAACATGTTTATCTTCTTTTCCTCGTTATGGATTCCAAGGGCAGGGCGCAGAGAGCGAGAGCCAAAGGCCCGCAAAAAGGCCGCAACATAATAACACACATTTCAATTTATTTTATTATTCATGTAAAGTTGTAAGGCAGACTGGTTCGAGGAGCCCCAGAGTCGTTCCCCAAAGTTTTTGCCAATTTAATTTCAAGGTTTTCTTCGACAATATTATCATATAAAAACGACCAGATTCCAGCGGGTTCTGCGTTCTAGGGTCTAGGGTCTGGGGCTTTGCGAAATTGCGCAGAGAACTCTTGTGAGGTCCGCTATGAAGTCATGGGATATTTATTATCCCATATTTAATGATTTGTTCATTATGTGCTAGTTCTTTTTGCTGGTGTTGATCAAAGGAATAACTGGAAAGGGCAATACCAGAATTCCATCTCCATGAAAAGTGGAATAATGAGGAAAGGGTTCGCAAGGGAAGGCAATCCATTAAATGCCTTTGTAATGAAATGTACATAAATGTGTACCGCTCAAGTGAAAATGTACTCCCCTTGTTTTCATAAGCCTATCCCATCCTTCGAGTACATGTCATTCGCCCACACAAAGGACATCGTTTTGTTGTTTGTGTGGATGTGCGCTTTGCCATATGCCAGATGCCATTTGATATCTGCTGTTGTCATACGTGTTTGTGCACATTTTTTCTCCCCCGCCCTGCTTGTTGTTTTCTTCGACTTTGTTCCTCTACGAGTGTCTTTGGCCATACCCTTATGACCGGAAGCAGGCATTCGTTTGCACTAGATGAAAGACTTCTCAGACTATCTATCTATCTATCTATTGATTTCCATATGTGTGTGGGGTTTGGAGTGGAAGTTATGGCGCTACAATTTGTGGTAAAGGTCAGTTCTATTCGATCTAGTTTTGTGGTAGAGTATTCCAAAGGCGACTCTCTATCTCTTGCTATGTGGCTTTTGTGCTCTTTTTAATGTTTTCCTGCAGCAGCAGCAGCAGCTTTGGGGGGCTAAAATTGTATTAAATTACTTTGTTGTTGCTCATTATATAATGTTGTTAGAGTCAGCCACTGGAACATCGCGTGGGGAGCAGCTCCTTCAACCGAGCCGCATACATATGTGTGAAAGTTGCCCTGATAAGCGGCAAGGGCGACAGCGAAAATATGTATATGTATGCATATGTGTGTGTGTGTCGGTGGGTATAAAATGGCTGCCACGGATCTAGGGTATGGTGTGGCAGGTGAGCTTTTAGTTGTAGTTTCTTTCATTGTTTGTTTGGCAGACACCCCACCCCCCTCCACACACACACACGCACAGCTTTTGACATGGCAGCAGAGCAGCAACAACAAGAACAAAAACAGCTTGCGGCAAGAGTTCCGGGATAACGCTTTGTGGTTGCTACGTGTTGCATGCAACCTTCAGCAAGTCCAAGGGTCATCAAGTGGGACAGGACAGGAAGAGCGCCCACAAAAGGCGCTAATTATAATTGCCAGTTTCTGTCGTGTGGATGACATTAAAATATCATTTGTCGCCCCCTTCGCTCCTGCTGCTGCTCTCTCTTTCTCATGTGTGTGTATGTGTGTGTGTTCTGTTTATGGTTAGAAAATCAGTTAAATTTTCCGTTATGTTTGCTTGATTTCAGCACCTGGATATCGACTCCTGCTACTGCGTCATCGATTCCCCAGTGAATGCCAAAATTATGCGTACATGTACGTGGTGGATGGGTTGGGTTGGGGGTGGGGAGGGCCTGCTCGTTTGCCAATTCATTGCTGCCGCACCCCACAAACGCAATTTGCGGAATGCCCCAAATGAAGTTATTCAATTGTAAAAGCAGATGGCATGGAGCCGCGGGGAATTGAAGTGCGCCCAAGTCGAGCGCAGAAATCGGGAGAACGACAGCGAGAGTATCGCCCAGGGGGTATGTGCTTGGGCTTGGGCGTGCACCACAGTGCGTATACGCAATGCTTGGCAAAATTAAGTAGAAGCTGAGCGGAAATACTTACATTTTTGAGTTAAGTTTCCGACAGAGGCAGATTACACACCACCAGCACCAACCTACAGGATGATTTGATGCCCACTGGGTGTGTGTATGTGTGTGGTCTACAATGTACTAAAAAAGATTTTGCTTGGCAGAGGCAGGGCCATATAATGTTTGCCTCGTACACTTTTTTAAGTAGATGAATGGCTCAGGGGCCTGATGCCTGGCTGCCTGGCTGCCTGGCTGGTTTGCCGTCTGACGTCTGCGATTTACGAGTCCATGGAACGCGCTTAAGTGCTACATAAAACTTAAACTGCTTAGGGCTGCTTACACGCTTATAATCGTATGCATAGATATGAGGCACGACGAGGGAGGGGGCGAGCTGTGCGGAGTACTTACTATTAAAGACCTCTCGCTTACTCAGCCATAGATCGCCATACTCTTATTTAATAACATACTAAGTCTCAATGATGATTAGCAGCTCCGTTAGCGGGCTGTATGTGTGAGTGTGTGTTGTGGTGTGGCATGTACAAATAGAGAAATATGTTTTATGTGTATGTGTATGGTGCATGTTGCATGTTGAATGATTTAAAATATCTAATCTAAGAGCAACGTAAAGAGCGTAACCGGCACCAGAACCAAACCAAAAGTCAGCAGAAAAAACTTGACCAATAAAACTAAAAACCAAAAAAAAGTTTAATATTTTTCCGATGAAAAATAGTGCGAGAGGGAGAGAGAGAGAGAGAGGTAATATTCTACGGCAAATGCACAAACACCGTGAAGATAATATGTGTAAATATGTGTATGTATGTGTGTGGATATGTGAGGGTGCATGTTTTTGTGTGTTATCATAATCGTATATTCGTATAGGAGAAGTGTAGGTAGGAGTGGATGGTGGGATGGGATGTGGGTTTTTTGATTGATTGGGGGGCGTGTCTGTGCATTCAGATGTAACATAAAAAGCGCAAAAAACGCAAGCACCCATAATCCGGATAAATGAGAGCTCTCCCAACATAACCGACACTCACCTCATGTCCTCCGCCTCATCGAAACGCCCCAATGCGGCATTGTCAACGTCATCCACCCGTGCGTTAGCCTCCTGGTCGCTATTGTCGTCGTCGTCGTTGTCGTCTTCATCCTCTTCATCCTCATCATCCTCATCGTCGCCGCTGCTGTTGCTGTTGCCGGCATTATCATAGCGCTTATCGGTATGACTGGCAGCGTTCTTGTCAATGTTGTCATTGGCTGCATCCAATAATCGGGATTTCTTATCACGGCGCAATGTTGCAATTTTCTTCTCCTCCTCCTGTCGCAAGTTTTCCACTTCGTCCTTTGACAGGAATGAGAAAACTTTCTCTAAAAAAAAAAAAAAAAAAGAGAGGAAGCGAAGGTCGCAGAAAATCAGTAGGAATTCAGAGAGACAAGAAGCACGTCAGAAAGGAAATTAAATAAATAGCGATAGCTGAATTTATCCACTAGATATTCTCTCTGTTCGCGCTCTTTCAGCGCATGCAAAAGACAGGCAAAAGGCGTTGCGGTCCCTCTTTCTAATTAATCAAACCACTGAGCTAAAAGGGGGTTAGGGACCCACAAGATGCAGCCTGCGGTAGCTTGGCAACCATTGATAAGTGGTTTGATTGACAACTTGTGCGACAAGTAAGATTCAAGTGGCAAGTGGCTGGGCTGGGCTTCCATTGAGGTTAATTTGGGAAAGTTTGTCGCCCGCACTTACCTGTCTTTTGTGTGGGCTTGTGCTGATCCTCCATGGCTGATTCGAAGAAGCGTTTTTTATCGGATACCGATTTAGGCACTTTATTGGGTGTCGGTGTCGGTGTGGGTTCTGCCTCCTGGCCGCCGGGTGTTGACTGAAATATGGCAAAAAGGTTTTTCGTTAGCAACGTCAAAGGGGAAACAATACAGAAAATAAACCCCTCCCACCCCGCAAAGATTTATTAATAAAAAAAAAATCAATAGACATATAAACGTCGAAACGCCAGCAGCTTTTGACTTTGTGCACCATATTTTCAATTAAATGACTGCGAAACAAAAAAAGAGCAGTGCCATTTTCCCTCAGCGAAAGCGGAAAAAAGTCCAAGCGACCATAAAGAAAATTGATGTCGCCTCACACACAAGTTTATTAAAAAGCAGACAGAACGGAGCGGAGCGGAACGGAACGGAACGAACTCCGAGGTTATTTTGTTGTTTGTCTGCTAGATGGAGGGGAAGTGGCTAAAGGCTAGTGGGCTAGTGGGCGGATCATCATCCGTAGGCAGAGAGGTTTCAATCATATGGAGTGACCCACCCAGGGAGTTGTTTTGTTCCGTTCCGCGCAACCCGGGGTCATGTAATTTACGGGGGGCGAATAGACCGAGGACTGAGACTGGGTTTAGAATGGCTGCAGAAGTGGGCGCAAATTACAGCTGAGAGAGGAGGCTCCATCCTCGACCATGGCCATTTATCACCCAAAGTCATGTACTGTCGGTTTTATGCTTTCATGCAATTCCTTCGTTTTAGCCAACATGAGACGACGACGACGACGCAGTGGACGCCACTGGGCCAGGAACAGCAGCAGCAGCAGATAAGAGCCAGTCGACGTGGGATATGTGGGCTGTGTGGGTGTATGTGGTAGGGCGGATAGATAGTTAGTGCCTCCAGCAGCAGCAGTAGCAGCAACGACTACGACGACAAAGTCATTAAATGGCAACCATGCAATGGGCCAGAACGATGGAAAAAACAAAAGCAGGGAGTTTGCTGGGAGCACCAGCATCAGCAGCAGCAGCATCAAAAGCAGGGCAAAGGCCAGCGTTAAACTGCACAAATTGCAACCGTATACCAATCCCTGGCTGTGGGCAATGGCACTCCAGCACAGATACGGGATACGAGAGTCGGGGACAAGACCACACCAGGCCACTTCCGAGCTCATAAATAAAGCAAGGGCCAGGACCAGGACCAGGACCAAGACCAGGACCAGTAGTAGTAGCAGGACCAGGACGATGACCAACAACGAACGCTCCAACCAGCGACAAGTGCATGGACAAAAGTGAAAGCTGAGAAGGAGCAAAAGCAGGAGAAGAAGCAAAGCTGTAAGCTGTAAGCTGTATTTTTAGAAGAGAAATTAATTTCGTATCGGATTTTTCGATTTTCAATTAAAGTCAATGTCTGAAGGGAGCCACTCGGTGTCCTGTTTGGCCCTTCGCTTTGCCATGGCTAGTCCAACTAATAGAAATTTATTGAGCCATGAAAGTGTTGAGATAGTCTATATGTGTGTATATCCCAGCCCTGGGTGGGAGTGTGTGTGTGAGAATGTGTGTGTGTATGCAACCCTCAACAGAGTATTAAAAGCCAATAAGCTATGAAATTATTCAGACCATGCGATGGGTGCGGCATGGGTGGTATGGGAGAATGTTAGTGGATGACACATCTTCGATAAGATAAGATAAAACAAAAGACAAGTTCCCCCTTCGATTGAGCCTTATCGCGGTCTATTAGGGGTACTCTCCGCCACTCTCCGATAAGATTACAACAACGTCGATAAGGAAATGGGAACACTGCAAAATACACCTGCTGCGGCAGCTATATAAAGCGGTCTATGGCCGCAGCCCAAATCAGTGCAGGGCCCAATGCCAAAGCGTGTGGGTGACACGCCGCACAGCAGGGTCTACACCTCTGCAAACAGGTGACACGAATGGGAGGGGGCGGGCTCAATTAGATGAGTGGCCCACAAGTGAGGTCAAGGTCAATGCTCGCGCCCATCCAGGGCTCATTTACCCAAATAAACATTTAAAATAGAACCGAGCTTTTGTTCGGTTGTGGGGACGAAAACAAAATGAAAAGCGCTCCGGAAACGGGCAGTACGAATACGAATAATACGCAGTGTTTATTTGCCTTAAGGTATGCAATTAAAAATGTTTCAGCTTGCTTTTTTTACCCCCGGCCCGCTCTCTAGGTAAAAATAAATTAGCATTAAAATCAACTTAACAGAGCAGAGCGCTTCGCTACACCGAAATTAACTTTATAAATTGTAAATTTGTATTTTCTTTTTTTTTCCAGTGTTTTTGGGTTTTTGTTTTGTTTTTGGTATTTCGTTTTTCGTTTTTATTCAAGTATTATTTTCCTTCGTTATACTTATTTATTCGTTGGTTTTTTGCACCGTTAAAAACAATATAGAATTGGAGGGAGTGGGGTGTTGTGGGGTGGGGTGGGGTGGGGCGAAGGCGGGAAAAAGTTAATGGGCCAGTGGGCGTGGCAGTTAGCTGCAGGTGGGCGAGCGACCGAAAACTGTTTCAATCAACGTCAAATTAAACCTGGCCAAAAACGTGCGGAGCCAGACAGGCAGTGGGCGACGGACCGCCTGCTGCTCAATTTCAACTGCAATTTTGTGTTGGGTACGGGGGGATAGGGGGATATGCTCGTGCATGTGGCTTGAGGGGGTGCGGGGTATTGGAGGAGCGTTGTCAAAGTCAACAAAAACTTGCATTCTAATTAGCTAGCTGGCAAGGTGCGGCGCCTGGGGTAAGTGCTGCACGAAAATCCAACAACAAATCAATCAATTTAAATGGCGAACGAAAATATTGAAAATTTTGCTACAAGAGAAAACCCCTTCACTGCCACTGGCTGTGGTAGGGGCTGTGGTTGGCGCTGTTGTTGGGGCTGGGTGCCATTTAATTGATGGCAAAAAGGTGTTGGAATTTAATTAAAATGTATGAGCAGCGACAAGAAGAACTAGGCGACGGAGAGAGAACGAAATGGCATAGAAAAAGAGAGAGAAACCCAAAGAAAAGAGAGAGAAAAAAAAAGAGTCGAAAAGAGCAGAGCAAGCGGTGCTACAACTGATTGGATGGAAAGGGAGCCAACGGAGTAATTAAAAAGAAAGAACTTCTGGCCACGAGGAATGTGTGCCACAATCTACACAGTGGTCTCCTTCCCTGTGGGCGTTGTGGGAGTATGCGGCACCGGGCTGCGGGCCCAGGATTGTGCCTCCAACTGTGGCTGGGATTGGGAGGAGCGCAGCCTGAAGCTGGACAGGCCACGCAGTCCGTGCGGCTTCTGGGCCACTGGTGGGGACGGTGCCGTGCGCACAATATTCAGTGGCTTCAGCGGTCGCTTGGGTGGCAAGGGGGGCGGCGTGGGTGACTTGGAGGCGCGACAGGAGAGCGATGTGTCGCTGCTGCGACGCGAATCAAAGAACGAGGTATTACTGTAGATGGCCTCCTCAATGGTCGAGTAGATCTCCTCCGCCGTCTCATAGTAGCTGGACAGACCCCCAGTCGCTGCCGTGGACTTGGTCTGCAGCGACGACGTGGACGAGGAGTCGATGGAGAAGGAGCTGCTGGTGGCCAGCGAGGAGTTGGATATGCCAGCGCGCGATGTGGTCATGTTTTGGTAATTGCTATTTGAGTCGGGACTGACCAGAATTTCCGAGAATGTCGGAAATTTCATTCCCGTATACGAGGGCGATGGCGAGGAGGAGGAGCTGCTGGGTGGTGCCAGGAATTGTTTGGGCGGCTTTCCACTCGATTCACTCACCGATTTTTGGGCGGGCGACGGTGAAGGTGACTGCGGCTGCGACTGCACCGATTGCAGGTAGAGCGAGGACACTTGGCCCTGGTCGCCGGGCAGCAGCACAAAGTTGAAAATGGGCTGCGTTTGGGGAGAACTTTGGAGGTGGGACTGGGACTGTGACTGTGACTGTGACTGGGGCTGTAACTGGGACTGGGTCTGGGACTGTGTCTGGTTCTGAGACGGTGTCAATGTAAGCGTATTCGGCTGTTGCGGTTGCGGGAGACTCGCATACTGCACGGGCAGTATTTGGGCCGTGGGAAAGATCTGTGTGGGCGACCCGGCGACCAGCAGCTGTTGCGGCGAACGCGACGCGACATCCATCAGGAGGCGGCCGTCAGCGGAGGAAGAAAATGGAGACGTTGATGCGTTAGTGGCGACAGCGGTTAGTGGTGGCGCAGGCGGCTCATGCAAATGACGCGTGGGGTGGAGGTGGTGGTGGTAGTGGTGTAGCAGTGGCTGTGGTGCCTGTTCGGTGGGCGGTGTGGGCGGTGGTGGCAGTGGCAGGCTGTCAATGTCAGTGTCGCAACTATCTAGGAAAGGATTCGTTACCGCATAGCCGCCGCTCCCACTGGCCCTGCCCGCAATGGGTATGGGCGGCGCGGGATCGTAGGGCGCCCGCAGCTGGTTCCGCAGCTCGTTCTCCCGCAGCAGATACTCGCGATGCTCCTGCGGCGTCACCAGAATGTTGTCCGGCGAGTTCTCGTGCACAAACTCGTGGGGACGGCGGTGCGAGGGAGGCGCCGGTGGCAGCGCCTCCATATACAGCGACTCCTCCAGCACTGTCGGCACTTTGGACAGTGGGCTGGGCAGTGGACTCTTTGGCAGGGTGGAGTAATTGACGGGCGGCGGGGGTGGACTCTCACGCGGCCGTGGCGGCGTCTTGGTCGACACGCACACCGGCACCTTGGCCCCCACGGGATGGATGGTGTTGGTGTTGGCGTCGTGCTCGAACACCGTGAAGTCGCCCTGTCCCACATCGCTGGCCTGGAACGTCTCCAGGGCCACGTTACGCACCAGATCCGCCTTCTTCACCTGCGGCTTGGGTGGCAACCTTTGGCCGCGTGCCCGTCAGGTTCTCCGTCGACTTGGATATCACGGTGTTGGGGGTGCTGCGTCCACTGGAAAGTGATTGCTCGAGGAGATCCTCACTGGAGCGGGCGGCGCCAAAGAAGAACTGATCGCGTGGAGAGCGGGGTGACCGCGGAGACCTGTTCATTGCCTTGGCGATCTGCGTGTACTCATCGTCCTCGATTGGGGGATGGCGGAAGGGATTATCCCGCTCCAGTTCCCCGGGTCGATCCGGCGAAGTGGCCCGCGACACCCGCTGCAGCTGCGGGGATTCCACCTCCCTGATGCGTGCCACAGTGGGTACAATGGGCGCCACCTTCTCCGGTCGGCGCTCAAGGGTGGAACTGGTCGACGAGCACGGGCTGGTGGCCCGTAGGATGCCCTTCCGCGGCAGGCGGTTCCGCGCATTTCCCCGATTATCCTGCTCGGAGTCGTAGGCCCGCGTATAGCCATCGGGTGTTCGTGACCTGGAACGTTCGTAGTCCGATCTGGAGCGCTCATCGCCGCTGAGGTCGAAGCTCACGGATTTGCGATGCCCGCCACCATACTCTGGGGTACTGCGACCCGATCGCGATGGCTTATACGGTCGACAATCGCTCTCCGAGTCACTGGTGTAGCGTCCACGGCGACGATCGAGGCAATCCGAGTCGGATTCCGCATAGGAAGGCGGCGATTGCAGGTCCAGCGGCGGAGAGCTCTCGACTTCCTCTTCGTCCTCCTCTTCGATGGCATCTATGTCGTCAAGATGCTGACGCGAGCCATCTTCGTCCCCTTCGTCGTCGTCGTCATCGTCGTCATCCTCATCATCGATAATGTAGACGGGTTCGGCCTTCTTGGGCTTCGCTTGGGGTGCCTTTGCACTGGTGCGGCTCTCCTCCTGATCCTCCAGCATCTGCTGGTAGGAGAAACGTGCACCTGGGGCCAGGCGTTCGGGCGTCTGGGTTCCACGTTGCTATTGGAGTTTTTGGGATTTCTCATTTAGTTTTTGCAAAATATCTTGGATTTTAGTTGGGTTTTTATTATTTGTTTTTTGTTTTTTGTTTGAGGTTTTTTGTTTTTGTTTGTCAGAGGTGCAACGTCTTCTTCGCACACAAGCATTGAACACAAACTGCAATGTGCAACGTTAATTGGTGTGTGTGTGTGTGGGTGGGTGGTTTGTGGTGTTTTTTGTTGTTGTGGGTGTTGATGATGTGTTGTTGGTGGAAGGTGTTGGGATGCTGCTTGGGTGCACACACAAATATCTGTACGTTTGATTTTTATTCTTTGTGCTCTGGGGTGGGGGGTGTGGTGTACTCTGCCACACTCTGCAACCTGCAGTCCATTAGCCAATTACCAGTGATTTCTGCTTTGATGATGAAGTGTCGATATGGTTGAAAGAAATTGCGCGCTTCTGGCCGAATTTTGTTTCTTGATGATGAGATTGATGAACTCGACGAACAGCAGCGATGCGATGCGATGCGATGCGATGCGATGCACGAAAAAACATAGATACAGATACAGTCACAGATACAGATACACGCATAGACAAGTACGCGGCGGCGGCGTCGTCACACATGTGGCAAAAGAATGGCACAAACAAAAACGAAATCAAATGAAACTTTTTCAATGAGCGAAAAAAACGAAACAAAATATCTCAATTAAGTCCCCCAACCAATTCATTTTTTTTTCTCGTACGACAAATACATCAAGATTTATTGACACATCAAAAATGCACACTTTGAATTCCATTTAGCTATCGTTTAAATGTAACTATCATTAGGTAACAATGAAAGTGGGGCAGGGCGGTGGGGGGGGGGGAAAACCATACACAAAAACCCAACATACGAGTATTTCTGCTATTAATAGTACACACTCCATGGTAATCCATCCATCGCTTTTAACAGTTGATACTTTAATAAAATATCCTTCTCTAGTTGTATAGGTAGTATAGGTAGGTAGAACATAGTATATGATCTATAACAATTTATTTGTTTTGTTTTGTTTGCCCTGCCTCTGATCAGTTTTATTGGTTTTTTATTGAGTATTATTCAGTTGCATAATTGGACCTTTTTCTGTGTGCTCTCCACACATTGTTACACATTTAGTTAATATACATATGCATGTATGTATGCATGTGGTATCTGTGTGTATTTGCATGAGTGTCTGTGTATAGTAATAGTACATACATCGAAAGACTATAATGTACATATGAATGTACATATATGGGGAATACTTTTTGTGCCGCAAAATGGCTTGCTTGCTTTTTTTTTAGATCTGTTTGCTCGGGATAAACAGTAGTTAGGGGTAGATCGCAGGGGAGAGATAGAGAGTGAGAAACATTGAAACCATTTGGGAATTCAGTTTTTGATTGAATTTCGAGATCGGAGGAGTTGTGCAGAAGATACACCGATATACATATTTATATATATATTTATAGACACACTGCCTACTATTCTGAAAGTAGTAACTCTTGGCCCTTTGAACACGCGTTGCTTAAAGACGCTCTTATTATTTGTGTGCTTCTATTTGTATTTATCTTTGGGTTTGTCCTTGTCCTGTCCTTTCCTTGCCTTTCCCTTTTAGCATTTTTGTATTCTGTCTGTCGTTTGTTTAAACTAAATATTCAGTCTTTTGGTGATAAACATCCGCTTGTTAAGCAATACGCTGCAATGAAAATCGAATGCAAGAACCCAAAAAGCAACACAACAACAACAAAAAGTACAAACACAAAGCGAGCAGCAATTCAGATTGCAAAATGATTGAAGGAGGGGAAAAAACAAAAACGAAAAATGCCATGGGAAAATATGTTTGTTGTTGAAAAGCATCAAACGAGAGCCAGAACCAGAACGAGAGAGCAATATAGGAGTAAGAATGGGAGAGAGAAATGAGAGAGAGTGTATAAGAATGAGAAGAAGAAGGACGAGAAGAAGATATAAGAGAGACATTTTAATGGAAATTTTCTTCTGCAGTTTTTGAATTATTTACATTTACATTTATTATATGTACGTATGTCTGTTCCACTATACTATATATAGCGAGAGTATATATGTACTTGTATTTGTATATTCGTATATATTGGTATGCCTGATTTTACTTCAGCTTTTTTTTTTATTTTTTTTTTTCTTTCTTTTTGCACACTGCTTTCAATGCAAATTTCAAATGGGGCATGCTTTAAAGCCGACAACCAGTTATACAAGCTACAAACAACGAAAACATTGAGGCACAATCATAACAGGAAAGAAAGGATAGGCCTTGGGGGGCGACTCAGTGGATACCCTTGCAGAGGGAGCATAATTATTGAAGCTACTGTATGATTTTAATAAATTATGATTCGAACTATAAAGAAACGCATCAGAGTTCTGTATATTCAATAACTGATGGGGGTGTTCCAACAATTCTTTTTGATTCATTCTTTTAGTTATATCTCTATTTTAGCTATACCTATTTTTATCTCAAGAGAACTGGACGTCATGTTGCATAGAAACATGTTAAACAGACGGACATGGCTATATATCGAATCTCTATATTATTTATAATCAAGAATACATTCTTCTGTAAATACTTCCATCATTTTGTTACATAAATCTTGTCAAAATCATTATACCCTCTGCAAGGGGTGGTATAACAAGGGCGCCCACGCAATGGAGCAAAGACGGAAGGAACTAAAATGAATATAATACGAAAGTAGCATAAATAACACCAACAACAACACGAACAACAACGATAAAAACAAAAACCATGATCAGGCTTCGCAACAGTCGAAAGCACAGCTCCAATATGCTAATAAATAATAAATTGTCTGCTGCCATATCAATAAATGCGGGAAAGGTGAAAGAGAGCTACCCCATAGCGAGCCTTATAGCCCCCCAAGGGAACACCAACAGCAGCAGCAGTCGTAGCAGCATCATCATCTCCCAACCGAAAACACTTGACTCCCCGTGGCATGCACAGGCGGGGCAGGCAGGCAGTTAGCAGATATAACTCATACGCCCCCTGTGGCAGGCCCAAAGAGATAGGCAATGATTTTTTTATTCACTTTTAATTCAAATGCAACACAAAAACACATTTAGAAAGCAGCAAAAACGAATGGCAATCGATGGATAATGGTTCATGGAGAAAAAGTAAATGCAAGTGCTTTCGTTTTAGTCACACTTTAGTTTAATGTTTTAATGGGTCAAAAGGTGAGTGAATGATGGAGACAGAGAGAGGTAGAGAGAGAGAGAGATCATGCTGTGAAAATGTGTGAAAACAGTACTGGCAATCTGTTTCATTTCACAGAATAATGAACTTTATGGTTTTTGTTTTTTGTGCGTATGATGAGAACAATGATGTTTCTGTTTTTTTATGTTTTATATATATTTTTGGTATAATTTTTAACAACAAATACGAGTATACATATGTATGTAGAGACAACAGTTACAGACACACAGCACGCACACACGAACGAGTATCATTGACAGGGGCATTAGTGGAGTTACACAGAAACAAGCAACAAGAAAATACGAAACAAAAATCAAGCTAAAAGATTTGTGAGGTTTTTTTTTGGGGGGGTTTTGTTCTTGTGGGGGGTTATGGGAGTTGGGGGTTGAGTGGCGACTGTCGGTTCATGTTAGGAAAGTTACAAGGGTAAAACAAAAATGTAGACAAAGGTAGACAGACACATACACAAATAGACGCACAACAGAAACATAAAACATACGATCTGAACGGATATACACACACACACACACACATACGCATACGCATACAGACATATTAAAGCCAAGACAACAGACACAAGACGTGCAGGCAGTCACTCGTCGGTTGGGTGGGTACATACCTGTAGCACCAGCTCCTCCTCCTCCTCCTTCACCTCTGCGGGAGTTTGTGTCTGCACAGCCACAACGGGCACTGGAGCGGGAGTGGGAACGGTAGCGGTAGCTCCAGGGGCAACTGCGGTCACTGACTCCGATGCAGAGCCAATAGGAGGGAGTGCTGACGGCGTTGTCGGTGTGGTTGGATTTGTGTCGAGCGTGTGCTTCGATATGACAACCGTCGTCGTCTTTTGTATTTTATCCTGTTCATGGTGCTCGGACGGGGATTTCGGTGGCACGGCGGTGAAGGCGTCTGCGGCGCGTACAATTTCCAGCACCTAATTTGCAAATCGAAACAAGTCACTTTAAGTCACTGCCCAAATTTCCTGCCTGCAAAGGGAGGAGCAACTAACCTTCTCCTGGGTGCTTTTCTCCTGACCCAACGGCGCCAGCTGCGTCTGGGGCTGTTGTTGCTGCTGCTGCTGCTGGTGGTGGGCCTGTTCTGCGTGAATGAGCGCCACGGTCTGTGCGGCTGTCGCGTCCAATGGCGGTGCCAAGTCAGCGACTGCCACTGGCGGCGTAGGTGTGGTGGGCGGTATGGGCGATGGGGCGCCATGCACCAAGGCAGCAGCGGCTGCCAGACCCGTCTGACTCGTTGGCTCCACTACGGACTCCGCCTTCTGTGTGGCAAACACATCAAAGTCCTGCACAGCGAAGAGGGTAATTTTAAAGCAGGTAAAGTTCGTGCGCTTTAAGGTGAGATGGCAAGGCAACACTCACCTGTCGCAGTCGCTCATCCTCTTCGTGATCCAAACTGGATACGCTCTGACTTTGACTGAGCTCCGAGCCCGTTTCCGAGGCGCGCGACCCTTGAGGTACGAAACAAACAGAATGCAAAGGTGAGCGGGAGGACTTAAAGCCACGGATTATGGGCGGGGGTTACGTTACCTTGACGACTGCCACCGCTGCAGGAGGCAGAGGAGTTGAAGCCGGTGCTCATGCCGCCCGCCTGGCCGATGGAATGAATTAAATTGGATTTGTCGTAGCCCTTGCAGACGACCAATTGGATCTCGTTGCCGGCATTCCTCAAGACATTGACCGCATCCTGATGCGAGGCACCCAGCAGGGAGTGTCCGTTAACCTCCAGCAGCCGCATGCCCACCTGCAGCAGCACGCGCACAAAGAGAGAAAAGTTGCCGATTAAGTTCATGCCACCAGACAACAATGGTGTGTGTGGCACGCAGCGTTACCTTAAGCCTTCCGTCGCGTCTGGCGGCGCCGACGGAGTTTATTTTGGAGACGAACACACCCTCGTCGGAGGGATCCCCGGGATTGCCGCGCTGTCCATTAAGGCCTCCCTTTATGTGCATGCCCAGGCGTTCGTTCTCGGCCTTGCTCAGCAGAACTTCCTGTGATTTGCAATTAGCAAATAGAGAGAGAGCAGAAAGGGAGGAGAAATTAGCAAGGAGTTGGCCATTACAATCAAGTGGTTATCGGTGGTGGTGGCTAAAAACAATGGGGCATGGAAATGGCAGAAAAGGAATGGGAATAAGCCGTAGAAAAACTATGGAAAGCATTTTGCTAATTGATATGTTAATACAAGTATTATTCTATCCTTGGTTTTTTTTGTTTTGTTTTTGTCGTAATTATCCAACAATTGCTGCAAAGGGATGAGCAGGAGAAGGAGGCGAGGGACGAGAGGAGATGAGGAGCTCTTTGTGTCGTGTGCAAGGGCTTACCTCGGTCTTTACATACTCTACTTCAATGTTCTGTGCGATACATTTAATTTCGTGTGAAAGCGTTTTGTTTGCAGAGTACAATAATAAAAAGTATACGGTATAGGCATAAGAAATTGTGACTCAAAGCTTATACAAAGTACATACAATACGATATACAAACTAAAGATTAAACGAAGTAAAACCAAAACTCACTTGGAAACCAGGTGGCAGTGGATCGTGTTGTATGGTCAACTTGATATCATCTCCGGGTTTCAGCAGCTCCAGAACCGCATCTTGATGTGTTGCCTTGGACACATCCGCATCGTTCACCTTCAGTATGCGATCTCCCATCCTTAGCTTGCCACACTTTGAGGCAATTCCGCCAGGCACAATCTGTGTGTGTTGTAACTTAGTAAAAGTTTCTCCAAAGGTTTGCTGCAATCGACTTGACTTACATGTGAAATGAAGATGCCGGGCTCACGATTGCCAAACGGCACACAGGAATGATCCGTGCCACCGATGATACTGAAGCCGAGAGAGCCCTGATTCTTGGGCAATACAACCTCCTATATAGAGACAATAGAGGGCACGGATTAGCAGATCTTCAAAATGGTATGCTTGTAATGCTATCGAAATAACTCTAGAAACCCTACTAAGACTGCCGTGTGTGGTCGTGGGTCGCTGGATGATGGTATGCAATGGGTGCGCGTGAGCGTGCGTGCTTATAGGTATGTCGGTGAGTGTCAAATGAAATGTGATGTGTTTGTTTGTTTGTTTGTGGGTGTGCAAAATTGTTGGTGATATTTACATGGAATTTCAATCTTTTTTTTTTTTTTTGTTCCGGGAGACATAAAAACATAAAAGACAAGAGACACCAAACAGAAACCAACAGAAACCAAAAAACCAATCAAAAAAGCCATAACAGAACAGAGCAAACATTTAATACCGTAAAGTGAGTAATATTCCATAAATAATGAATAACCTTTGCTTATGAATAACTTAACATTAGATTAAATGGCAGAGCAGAGCAGAGAGAGCTCTCTCTTTATCCCTCTCTCCCTGTTGTTTGCAGTTTTATTAGTCGGATTCCGAGAAGCCATTTCACACAAACGATTTTTGCGGGTGGACCTGCGGTTGTGCTCACACACACACACACACCACATCCAGCTTTGAGATATTAAAATATCAAAGTAAGAGGCACTGTTCTGGCACTTCTGCTTGTGGCAGTCAAACAAAACTTCACTCGTGTCAAGATGCCAAATAAACACATGTAAACAAAATAGCATCTGCATGCACTTGCAGCAAAACTGTATCCCAACTTTTATCAATTAACTTGGAAGCAAATTGAATTCTTGAGAGTTCGATGCCGTTGGCATAAAGAGAGCAGCCATGGAAATTAAAAACAATTAAATATTTTATTTAACATTTTGCTTGAATGCCAGCGGCATCAGTGTTTGCACTCCACAGACAGACAGACAGACGGGAGAGATTGTGCAAGCAAACAGAAATATTTAAAGTTTACTTATGGGCTGATGCTCTGGATGAACAAACTGGAGAAGAAATCTGCAGTTGAGTCATTTAGAGTAAATCTCTTTTAGGGCTCGTCTTGGCTCTGCTCTGACACAGTGGCTTTTCGTAGTTTTTTATTCGTATATTATTTAAACACGTTTGCATGTTGCATAGTTTGCTGCTTTACTTATTTATGTAGCAAGTGGCAAAGTGACAAAGCTTGTGCCACACTCACACACACACACACAAACAGAGAGAGAGAGAGAGAGTTGCAGAGATTTCTTGTCGGGATTTGCTTCATGTCAACGATGACACTCGAGTGGCTTCCTATGGAGACGAGCAAGTGTGTAAGCCGTTCTGCCAAAGCGAAGGCGCTTTGGCCCGTCACTTGAAACGGATTCAGTTACAACTATAAAAAAAATAAAGAGGACACTAAATATTCAAGTGCTCAAGAGCCAAAAAAAAAAAAAGCCAGAAGTCCACTTTACGATTAAGGGGGAAAAACATTAAAAACATGGTTTTTTCTTTAGGGAATTATATTTATCAAGTGTGTTAGTAGTAGAAGTTGGTTTCTTTTTTTTTTTTTTTTTTTTTGTTAAAGAATTAATTGGCTTATGGTACGGGAAAAAATGTTGATTGCATGCAAAACTTTCTTCCAAGTGGATTAATCGATTAATAATACAATAGGCAGCCCCAATCCCATAACCATAACTTTGATATCCATATCCATATCCAATTCCAGTCTCAAATGCTACTCAAATTAGTCATCGAAGCAAACACAACTCTCGTGTGAGTGTGTGTGTGTGTGGGTGTGTGTTGCAAGGGTGCATGTTTTGCATGAAACATAATGTAAGCGCAGGGCCCCACATCAAATCAACCTCATCCGCCATTCCATTCCATTCCATTGAGAACTTTGGATGAATGTGTGGCCTGGGGGTTCGGTTTGTCGACCACTCAGACCAACAGTTAGTTAAATCAAATCGTTTTGCAAAACGCACAAAAATATTTATTAACCAAATGCATCACTTAATCGAGTGCCAATGTTGCGGTGTAGAATTATCAAATTATAAATTTAAATAAACATTTCTTTTCTTCGACTTTTGTGGAGGTGCATTGTGTGTAGAGTAGACTTAAGTGCAGGTTTGTGGGTGCAGGTGGTGTGTGTTTTGTGGCAAGAGGAAAAGCTCGGCAAAAATTCCGGCCAATGAACTGCGGATTGCGGATCGATCCGATCTTTGGTGTACCACCGCTCTACTGTACTGTGGGCGGACCACCGCTTTACACAACGATTCGTTAACTCTTTGGTGTTGGTCTCTTAGCGGTGGGACGACTCTCTATGTGGGGGTAGGCTCTAGTGTAAGCGTGATGTGGAGATAGTCACCTCACTGATCAGGGGCTCCGCCAGCTGATTGTCGGTGATGCGCGTCATCACCGTCTCCGTGAACGTGGACTTGGTGATGGTCTCGGTGACTTTACCCAGTTCGGTGGGCGCTGCCGGGAACATGGGCAGATCGGGCTGCGGCTTGTTCACATTCACCGTTACAGCGCTGACGCCCACCTCATTGGGCCGTGCCACATGCACCTGATGCTGACTGCCGCCGCTGAGGAAGTGTGCCGGTATCATCGCCTGAAAATCATCGCTGGTCAGCGGTCGCAACGAGGAGGGCTGCACTCGTGGTGGTGGTGGTATCGGTATCGATGGGTTTTACGTTGGGATCGATCGGTATAGCAAAGTGTTGGTTTTTTTTTCGGAAATATCAAATCAGTTTTAAGCAAGTTTTTTTTTTGGTGGGTTGTTGTGGATTTAGAGAAAAAGAAAAACAAAAATATGTTGGTTTTTTGTCAATTTTGGATTTCACATTTTGATGGATGGATGCTCTAGCTTTATCTTTAATCTAAGCTAAGCTGTCTAGAGCTATGTACGTAGATGATGCAAAGGAATTATTGCTACGTTGGACTCAAACGACAGAGCTTACGCTCTCATTTACTTGGTTAAATTTCACTTGCATCATCTATGTACATATGTGTTCCATAATCCTTGCTAACACGATATAATATTATTTATGGATGATATATTGTATATACAATCCTCTAGGGAAAACTCTGGCCTAGCTTTTGGCTCTTCTTTTTGCTAGTATTTTGAGGTGCATTCAAGCCAGGGGAGGGGACAGAGAACACAAACAAATCAGTGCAGAACTTAAGCTACATATATTTTATTTTATATATGGTTATATGGAATGTATCTGTAGCTATTGAATGATGTGGAATTTGTTTGTTTTATATTTTTTTTGACGGTGGGAGTGGGAGGTACAGTACAGACAAAACACAAGGCAGGGCGCACAGGGAGGGCACATGCAAAACAAAACACATACAAATCCATTAGACGAGTACGAGGAATGAGGAGAGCAATTTGATAGGAGAATTCTAGGTGTTCTATGGGGTTATGGATAATCTGGCAGAGATATGGATTAGCACAATTAGATATTAACTTAGGATCTACAATATTTGTACGAGTATTTAGGAGGGGGAGGGTGTTCATGTGTGTTCATGTTTCATGTTTCCATTTCTTTTTTGTTTTGTTTTTTAGGCGCAAAATATCAACAACAATTTGCTTGCGACTCAAAAAACCTGCGCTGCAGTTCCTTAGGATTCCGATTCGAAGACTTACCTTCTGAATAAATCATATCTCTGTTTCTATAAATAATATTCAATAATTTATGCCAACTGCAGCGTAAGTTTCTCTCTGTTTTAGTGGTTACCTAAAGGCTAGGGGAGGGGTTCTTAGATCTACCGCTCTGATCAATCGATCGAAAACAAAAAAACGATCTTATGGACAAAACACTGAAAATGATGTGCAATGTAGCTAAACGGAAAACTAAGAGTTAGGGCTACCAAAACGCTACTTTTCCATGAAAATGGAGTTCATCGTTTCCTTACCTGAGCCTCGCCCGAGTCCCCGCTGGCGGTGGAGGCCGCCCCATTGGGCGCCGCACTCTCTACATCCCCCATGGGCACGGAATTGGTGCGCCTCGGAGCGGGCACGGGCTGACCCGTCATCTTGTCCAACACTATCGCTGTGCCGGCGGCCGATGCAGCTGTAGCAGCACCAAATCCATTCGTTTTGCTGCTTGGCAGCGTATTGTTATTGTTGTTGGCTGCCACAGGTGCCACAGTTGCGGATGCAAGTGTGGGGGTGGTGGTGGCCAATGTATTGTACTTGTACGGCTGCTCAACGTAACTGGCATCGCCCCCCACAGACCGCTGGAAGTTGCCTGCAGGAACACACGCACAGATACAGGAAAAGGTCGGTTAATCAACGGGCACTGGGGGGCAGGAGCAGGGGCAGGGGATGTCCGTCTGTCTGAAGAGGTACTAACCTGGTCGATTGGCCAGATAACCGGATGGACTCAACGAGTTGAGTACGGCGGGACTGCGCGGACTTGTCGGCGGCTCTAGGGGGCCGCGGTACTCGCGCTGCAGGACGAGCCGCACAAAGCGCTGCGGTTCGGTGAGGCAGGCCACGGCCGCATCGTGATGTGCCTCCGTCATATCGTTGCCGTTAATCTGCGGTGGTTGGAACGCATCGCATCGCATCGGATGGTACAATGAAATGCCATTAGCATGTGTCCAGAGACCCCATGGCCCGTCGGCCGTCCCCTACTTACCGCCATCACCCGGTCGCCCACCATGATTTTACCATCGCGATGCGCAAGTCCGCCCTCTGTGATGCGTGATATGAAAATGCCATCGCAATCGTCCTTGAACGGGGGCGAGCCCTTGCCACCGGCAATGCTGAAACCCAGTCCCTGGCCAATTTGATCGCGTATCAGCGTCGTGTGCAGCTGGATGTAGCTCAGCTGTGCAGCATCCTGCAAGAGAATGAACACAGAAATCAATCACGAGAGACCGAGTTTAGGGAAATTATAGGATACACACCCTGCCATTCGGTAGCAGGCCATTGGGGGCCACAGCAGCAATCGGCTCCACGATGCTTTGGACAGCTGGGGGCGTGGCAAACACATTAGCAGAATAGCCATGCGCCGGAGCCACCATTTGCTGGAGTACAGGCTGCTGTTGATGCTGCTGATGGCATAATCTCGATGGGCGCTGGAATGTATCGCTCTTGCTGCGGCTGCTGATGCGGCTGTGACTGTAACTGTGGCACCTCTGTAGCCACCAAGGGACGCGTCTCCACAGAGATCTGTGACACGCTGCCATCCTCGCTGAACACCGGATGTCCAATCAGACGCGTCACCTCACGCTGCACGACCAGCACGAGAACGGCACCGCATGCCTTGAGCACCTGCACCGCCTGATAGTGATCCGCGGCGACGACCACAATCCCATTCACCTTGACCACTTTGTCGCCCACTTTGAGGCCCGCCATGTCAGCGGGTCCCGCTTCGGTGACGCGTGATATGAAGATGCCATCGTCGTCGCCCTTGAAGGGTGTGGATCCCTTGCCACCGGCAATGCTCAAGCCGAGTCCCGCTGCCGTGCGCTCAATGTGGATCTCGTACTGCTCCAAACGTAGCTCTGTGACGCCATCCAAGTTATCTGCAAATAGAAAGGGTAAATTCAATGATTAAATGGTGTTGCTGGATGTGGATGATCTCTCTCTCTCTCTGTCTACCATAGTGCTGTCTCTGCCTTTCGTAATCCCTATTCACGGGATCATAGCTGGTGACGATTCGCACACGTTTGCCCTTCCTTTGAAGGGAGCCCATGGGACTGCGATTGGAGGAGGCCAAGGAACTGCGAAGGCTACTCATTGCGGGGCTATTCCTTCCACTGCCCGCTCCCGAGTAGCCCCCAAAGTTGCTTCCATTTCCGTTGCCGTTGCTCCTTTGGCCATTTCGTGGCAGGGTATTGTTGCCCTCTTTGACTTTGATTTTTACATTGAACATCGCTTCAATTTTTTTTTTTTTTTTTATATTTGAGTGCACTTTTTAATATGATAGATGGGAGGCGGCAGCCAACAGCAGCATCTTTGCCCCGCTGTGCAGTGTATGGGGGGAGGCACAACCTATTTTTTTTGTTTTATTTTTATTTCACTGCACTTTTTTAATATGCGAATAAACGAGTACGAAACTTTGTTTGGCCATCGATCTGGGCTGCACCCTGTATGCATGCTTCTGCTCATGTGCAGTGGCATAGAAAACAACAACAACCCCCACGCCAAGACCATCCCAATCCTCTTTGAATATCAGTGGAAATTCGATCGATTTAATGAAATTTAAACCAACCCACAAAACAGCTACTTAGATTTAGATAGGTCTGTGGGTCGCATAAATTTACACTTTAATGACATTTAAATGGCCCAACAAAAAAAGTTAGGCACACCATCTGCCCCTTGGCCATAAACACGACAGTCAATGAACCGGTGCGAAAAAGAGACTAGAAAACAGACATAAAACCAACGACCTTGGACGGGTGGGGCTGGAGTTTCTCTGCCCGAGAACTTTGCCATCTCTACCGCCCGCCCGCCACGAATGACCGTCGGTACAGCGACTTTGAATAATTATTAAATAAATAAACAGACACTCGACTTAACGGAAGGGAGGGGGGGGACGGGCGGTGCCGCAACGGCATCAAAATTGTGTCTGAAAAGAAAACTCGCAGACGGTCCCACAGGTGAGGATGGGGGCGGGAGAGTGGAAAATACATTTATTGCTTTCTTTCGAGCCTACCTGCTGCCTACCTCCCTGACAGCTAGCTCATGATTTGCACTCAATAAATCCGTCGGCACTTTTGGCCAAGTCAACAAAATCATTTTATTTGGGAGGAGCAAAAGGAGACAGACAAGACAGTTGTCAAAAGTAAAAGTAAAAGCAAACGAGAGACAATTTCAGTTTGTAATTGTATGCGAGTTTTTTCATGTTAATCAAAGTATAAACGAATGAAGGACTCTCCTCCTCTCCCCCCTCTCCCATCCCAACCCAATTCCACAGAAAAGCCAAACAAAATTCTGCTCTGCCTTTTGCTGCCATTCGTCGTCTATCGTCAGAGTCGACATTAATATTGTTGGCTTTCAATCTGCCTCTCCTTTTGCGACTTTGGCATTCATTCGATTTCAATTTGATTACAATTTGATTCCTCATTGAGTTTGATAAGTTGAGCGAAATATATTCATCAAAATTGTATACTTTACGCATCATAATTCTCACAAATTTCAAGCTAAAGGTTTTTCATTAAATTGGGTGTTGTGTTTATGTGCACAGGAAGTGTATGTAAGTATGTCCTTTGGTTTGTGTGTTGTACCCTGTACAGCGAAACTCCAGTCAAATATTAATGTGGATGCACTCTGCACTCAGGGTATGTATTTTTTGGTTTTGCATTATTAGTACCAAAGCCTCGATGCTGGTTTTGGGTGTATTTTCTTTTAGCATTCTCCCTGCATTGTCTTTTGCATTTATCTGGCAGATGCTCAAAGGATACTTTCTTCTTTATTTAGCAGATAATAAGCAAATAAATATAATCTAAAGCCGCAAGCTGCCAGGGTATCATTTGTATCGACCCCCGAAGACAGCCCATCTGCCCTTTCGTGTTTTATTGTGGATTCCCTCATATTTTTGGACAAACGGAAAGGCATTCTTTATGGATTTGCAGGACAGCCCACACACACACACACATATGGAATCCATGGCTTCGTTTTGCCATCTTTTCAGGTTTTTCTTTAGCTGCAAAATCGCCAATAAGAGGAGCCTTTTCCAGGGTCAACAGGCAACAATAACCCGAGGGGGACAAAGCCATAAAACAAAATAAGATTTTTCTTTCCATATGGCAGGAGGACACGTGCCTTGTGTGTGTGTGTATTTATTTAAGGATGGGCTCCACCAGGACTGTGTTTAAGGGAAAGGTACAGCAACTAAAAGCACAACGGCGCAAATCACATTTTTCTTATCATTGCTTCGTCACTCATTTGTGACAGTAACTCCCTCTCTCCCTCTTTATCTGTCTGTGGGTGGCAGCAGCCACTTAAGCAGACATTTAACCATTTTACGATGACATCCGTGGCCGTGAAATACGGAGCGGGGGAGCTCCCCCAAAAGTAATACACGCGTAAAAGAAATGGCAACAAGCATATAAAAATATAAAAATTTAAATACGCCAAAAGATGAGGAGCAAAAGCCACCATAAAATGAGGGGCAGAAGAGTCCCCTTCCAGCAAGAGAAGGTGATGAAGATGATGAGGATGATGATGATGAAGATGGAGATTCCCCGAATGCATTAGCATTCGCATATGTATCTGGAATCTGTTGCTGTTGCTGTTTCTGTTGCTGTATCTCTTGTGTGTGACAACGCAAACAAATGGCAAATTCCAAATCAATGTTGTCTCTCTGCTTTTCTTTTCTTTTTTTTTTGTCATCTATATGTAAATGTGAACGGGAGGGAGAGAGAGAACTGCTTGTTGGCCCTGGGAAATTAGCAGACAGTCGTCTGGACACATGCCAAAAAGGCAGCACAGCAGAAATCATATTTCACATCCCGCAGTCATCTGTGGCCAAGAAAGGAAAACACTCCTGTAACCACAGCTTGGATGCTGCCTCCAACTGCGACTTGGACTCATCCATGACATATTCGTTTGGACAAGTGGCACGAAAACTTTTGAGGCACACAAGCAACGTTTTTTTTTTTCTTCGTTTATGCAAATTCTGGAATACATTTCCCCCCAACACTCTCTGGCCACTCATTTTTGAGGCAATGACCGGATCGATTCAATCGATTTTAATTATCGTTGAAGAGAAGATCAAGTATTACAGGGCATTTAAAGCGACTTAAAGCCCCCCACGCCATCTAGCCATCTACCCATCGCTTTCATTACTCCCATCGATATGGACACGTGAGCTGCTGCAGAGGGCTATGAAAAATTCCAGAGTTATGGCCAGGGGGAAAAGGTCAGAGCAGACTCCATGATTAATTGCAGTTCAGGTTGAATGAGAAATAGTGTTGTGGCCACAGAGGAGTGCGAAGCGGCGCGGAGCGACGCGGAGAGGCATGCCGCGGTTGACAAATTGCAAGTGTTAAGCTTTGAAAATCAACAATGCGACGGGGGCCGCTTAAATGTGGCGACAAAAATTAATGAACAAAGTTTTTATGTTACCACAAAAATGGAAAAATCACTGAAATATCTCCACGAAAAAATGGTGGAAAAACACAAACACAAATGCCACACAAAGCTCTTCCCCTCAATCATATTGGTGAGGGGCTTTCCCCTGACCCACAACAAGAGGATATTCATCGCCTGATTGTCGTTGATTCGCGGTACAAATATCCCATAATCGAAAGGAAACATTCGGGACGCAAAAAGGTATTCGAAGTGTACCGATTATTGCCATTCACGCGTGAACGTTGGCACGAATCAACATTCTCCGCAAATGAGGAGGAGAGAAGGAGGAGGAAAACAGTTTGCAACACCACCGATAAAAGGTGCGGGATGGAGGCGATGGAACTCCATATCTTATCGAAACTTTTGGAATGCCTAAGCTCCGTGTTGTGATAAGAACCAAAATAAAAGGGAGGGAGACAAACAACAAAACGAATGAACACCTCTGACGCGACGCACAGAGAAAACGAAGCGATAACATAGCTATATTAGCTATGGGGGGTGGGGGGAGAGAGGAAATTGTATGTAGAAGAACTTTGTGAATCATTACGACATACGCGTATTTTTGGACATATGAAAGCATTACAAGGGGCAGCAGGCACCACACCATATCGCAGCAAAGTCAAGTGGCAGGTAATGACCTTGGTCCACCTGTCGTATCGGGATATACATATTTGGGGCAGGGTGTGGGAAGGTAGGGTAAACTACGCGAACTACTACGTATGAATCGTGTGTGAACTGCTCACTGATTAACGTGTTTATCAAGAACTGCTGGATGATATCATAGCATTTTTGAGTCGGTGGAAAGGGGGTGGTAGACTGATTGTCCCTCCGGCTGCAATGCTGATTGCTATTGCCCCTTGCCACAGGCCACTCGCCGCATGTTGCTGCTGCAGTCAGTTTGCTCGGCAATTACGCGAATTTTCCACATTTCCTACTGCCATCAACATGGTGGCGCAAAAATATTGGAAAATGCGATGCAAAAATTCTTTGACCCAACCATTGCTCTCTTTCTGCATCTCTCCTTCTCTCTCTGTCTCTCTCTGTACCTCTCACTCGTTCTCCAGCTGGCATTTATTGCATTTTTGTTTGTTTTGTCGCGCAAACGACAAAACGGGGTATGGGGGGTATGGAGCGGGGGGTGTTCGGAAAAGCTGTCACTAATCGGATGGCCAATCTGGGGGGTAGGAGGCGGACAGAAGACAGTTGCCCGGTTAAAGCGTAAAACTTAGCATGCAACTGTGAAATGCCCCCAAGGCCCGGCCAAAAACTTGAACAATATTTTGGCCAGCAAATAGAATTCCGCCTTTTGTTTGACAGAAAAGGAACAGAAACAGAAGAAGAAGAGCAACCTGGCCGAACAGAGCAAATAGTTTAAATTGTTATTTGCACAAGGGCTGGGCTGGGGCAGGGCAGCAAAGAGAACAGCAAACAATAATGCAACACGCAACAATGATGTGTTGTGATGAAAGGGTGAAAACTGTACAAACAGAAGGAGGGAGTGTGGCAGCAGCGGTGCCATATGGAGGGGCAGCAAAAATTCAATAAGAATCCGATGCAATCAACGATACACAATACATAAATAATGAATGCCATTGCCTTGAGCTTATCAACGGTATTATTTATTGGCCAACATGCATCCCAGGATCTGCTGCTTGCTGTACGCTTTAAGGAAGGAAATGTGCAGCAGCAGCAGCAGCAGAGGCAGCAGCAGAGGCAGCAACAAATGCAGCTTATTGTTTGCTTTCGCAGCAAGCAAAAGGAATGCCAAAGGAATTGTGCAAATGTTGATTGTATTGCCGTAGCCGTAGCTGTAGCTGTAGCCGTAACTGTAGCTGTAGTCGTTTGCCAATATATCTAACCAGAAAAATCTGTGCAGGGAAAAAGGAAAAGGAAATGCCGGGAAAACCGGATATGCACACAACCCAAGCGAGAGCACTTTTCGATGTTTGTCATCTGCAAATATCCAACAGAGAAGAGAGCCACACCAGTGATAGAGTGTGTGTGTGTGTAAATCCGGCCATGGGGCATGCCTCTATAAACAAGACTAAATTTACTTTCAAGTAGCTCATTTTCGGGGGTATGCCTGACAGCCACCGAATGCAAATACATAGTGAATTCCACTCCTGCAACTATGCACTATGCACTTGGCTTTACTGCCAGAGCGTGTGGTGTGTGTGATGGTGGCATGGGGCGGGCAACCTTGAAGTGTGTCTTGCATTTGCTTCCACAAATTTGCAGTTTGAAATTGAATTGCTGGCATACGCCGCGTATGCGCAATGTGGGAAACTTTCCAGACGACTGGCCCTGCCTGACTGCGCCGTCTCCATTTCTACGCTTAAGCGAATTAAAACAGACAATCCAGACGAAAGAAAAACCAAACAAAAATCGATATCCACACGTCAGAAGACAGCACCCAACAACAAAAAAAGAGGCATTTCACACTCTCTTTGTCTCTCTTTCTCTCGAGAAATGCTTCTTTTTTTTGGTTAAATCTTCTCGTCTTATGACTCAGGTGTCTCAAGGCGTACTGCTGCGAAAGTGAAGTCTGTGCGAAGTAAGTGCAACTTCAGCTATTGTTAATGCTATTGTTTATGCGGCGGCGGGAGGCCTCTCTTTTGAAACAATAATAAAAGTTAAGTTAAACAAATTAGCAGCGAACGATGCCGTGCGGTGCGCGTCTCTCGCGACGTTGACAAAACGCAAGCGTAACTGAAAAATGACTAAAGCAGGCGGCCAGGCAGAGTGGGCCAAGTGCCCCAGACCCACGGCGCTTGGCCCCCACTCAATGGCAATTGCAATCAGTCGCTCTCCGGCATCACTCTCTCTCTCTCTCTGTCTCTCTCTCTTAGTCACTCTGCCTTTTTCTCTCTCTGTGTACAGGTAGCGGCACTCCAGCACTGGCCATAATAAGGCGGTCACTCATTTCAGTTTCATTTTGAACTGTTTTTATTTTTTCCTATATACCCTGGTAATTGTGGAGACACGAGGGTATGCTGTGTATCGTGTGGGTATATGGCACAAAGAGAGAAAAGAAAGGGCTTATACATACTCATTATATGAGTCAATCTTTTCATATAATTGGGTGTTTGTTTGAGCAGCTGTTTTCCCTATGACTATTAGAGGCTACATAAGCCGTATGTTTTGTAGAGTCAAAACTAGCTATGGTATCCCCAATTTTAAAGGTAGGGAACTCATAGTTGTAACTCATATTTGTAAACTATTATTCTCTCTAACTAAATTCTCCTCTCCTCGCTACTCTTATATTTCCTCAAATTTGCATCACATTTTTAGTTTTTATATGTTTAAATTTCTTCAGTAAAGGGTACTCCCTAGTCGCTATCTACCCTTTATCATTACCTGCTAGTATTTTTTTCGTACTTGTTGCCCATCGAGTGCTCTCCAGAGTCTCTCTTCTCTCTCTCTGTTCCCTGTTCACTCTCTTCTCTGCTTTTCTCTGCCTCTTTACCCGCCTTTTGAGTGAAGTTTGCACTGTTTTTGTCCGCTGTTCTTCGTTCTTTTATCTCTAGGGTTCCTCCATTATTGCATTGCGTCCCATCCGCTTGTAGTTGTTTCTTTTTTTTATCAGCTTTTGCAAGCCAGCAGCAAACAGATATCGCTGGCTGATAAGCCCTGCCCTGCTGCTGCCGCTGCCGCTGCCGCTGCCACTGCCACTGCCATGGTGTGCGTGCTAGTACTCCGTGCAAGGCCTATTTATAGGCCAAGTTTGTGTGGAACGTCTGCCTGTTGCGTGTGTGTTTCACAAGCCCAGAGCCGAAGCCAGAGCGCGGCGTCTCTCCACACCTGTCGCTCTGTCGTAACGCGCTTTTAATCGTCGCCTCTCCCACTCTTTTCCTCTGTTGGTTTTTCCTCTACTTTTTTTGTTGCTGTTGTTGTTGATATAATTAACATCGGGGTACGGACATAGGAAGTACAAGCCACTGAAAGGCCTAGACCGACATCTACATCTACACGTACTTATATAAATATGTATATGCAGATGGCCGTGTGGGATGCAGGAAAGAACCACACTTAAAAGGGGTCATGGGTGGCTCTCTGTGGTTTTTCTTTGTGATTAAATTTCCACTTTAGCCTCTGCTGCAAAATGAGTGGAAATTACTGGACACTGAACACTGGACACTCCCTCCACACATATCGATTTCCCAATCAATGATGCATCCTCAAGGCACTCGGGTTACTGTACTACTTGTGGCACATATGTACATATATTACAAATGTAATTAATTATGATAACTTTGGTATTTACCTTGCTCCCCTGCCTGCTTTGTCTTGCCTGTGGGTATGGGTATGGGCGATAGTGAGACATCGAATGGATGCTGTGACCTCTCTTGCTCCTCGGAATCGACATCGGTATTCTCCTCCTCCTCTATGGGCGATGTCACCTTGCCCAATGATGAGTGCGGCGTTGTGGGTGTATCGTTGCGCTCCTGGGTGGCCAAGGCATTGGCCAGTATTTCGTTGGCCTGCTTGTCGGTTAAATGCTGAACGCGTTTGTTCTTCAAATGATGGGGAGTGTCCCTGAAGATTAGAGTAATTAGAGGCTTAGTGGAAATGCTAGTGAGATTTTCCTCTCTCTCTCTCTCTTACCTTCTGTGTAGTTTCGGTGGACGTTTGTAAAAGTCATCATCCTCGCCCTCCACCTGAAAGCCCACACGGCGATCGGATTCCTGGAAAAGCGGAAAGCGGTTACAAATGATTACAGAGACATTCTAAAAGCCCTTTCTAAACTTACGAATTCATCTTCCTGCTCTTCATCGTCGGGCACATCTTCGGAGGCAGCCACGGTCGCAGCTGCAGCCACAATCTCAACAACAGCTGCTGCTGTTGCCGCCTTCGTGTTGTTGTGGCTGCTGTTGTTGTCTGCGGCAGGTGCTGCAGGGGCACCGGCACCTGTTGGAATGCTGTTGTTCGAGGAGGTCTGCTTGGAATTCACACCAACGAGCGGTTGCTGCACTGGCTGTGGCGTTGCCTGTTGGTGATTATTCGCCAGGGTGCGGGTCTCGGTTGGTGTCTCCGCTACTTTAGTGCCATTCTACAATGGAAAATACACAGTAGATGTAGTACATCAGTAGAATATAAGTAAAAGTAGCAAGTTACACATGTATAAGACGTGTAAGAGAAATGTAGAATTTGAAAGCCTATTGACGCCAGCAGGTGTCGCTGTACTACATTTATATTACATGTAGATATAGGGGAAAGACTTATATGCCAAACGATTTTAATTCCATTTAAATATAACATCCAACAGATATGTAACTTGCTGGATGCACAGATAATGCCTTTGCACCCGTTTTGTGTTCACTTTCATTGCTTTATCTAACCTATTATAGGCATACCATCAGGAATATTAATGGAAGCAGACCTACTGACAAGGAGATTTTAAATTCAGGATTTTTAAGCTAAATAATTGATTCATATATTTAGATACATTTATAGAAAACATTGAAAAACGAGGGGGAACGTTGAGTCGCTTTTGATGCCGCGACTCTACTTTTATACCCGTACTCAGTCAGTATATACATATGTGAGGTTATGATTTGTGGAATTTTTAAATATTTCATCAGTTTAAATTTTTTTGCTACATCTGTCATCTAAATCTTTACTGTAGATTCTACAGCTCCTTCGCCAGAGAGCCCACGCACACTGGACAGGGCAGTGCGTGCGAGCGAGATAGAGAATGAGTAGCGCTGCCGCGCTGGAAGGGTGGGGTGGCACCTGGAAATTAATTTCTTTATTCTGGCTATAATATTAATCCGATCTGATCCAGATTCGGCCATCTGGTAGATATGGACATTTTCTACGATTCTGTGTTTTCGGTTTCTCGTATCCTCAAAATTGTGCCACTCCAGCTCTTATAGTCTCTGAGAACTAGGCGACAAACAAGACGGACAGACGGACAGACGGATATGACTATATCGACTCGGATATTGATGCTGATCTAGAATATATTATATACTTTATGGGGTCGGAAACATATCCGTCTCTGCGTTACACACATCCACTTTTACCACAAATCTAATATACCCCTTAAATCATCGATTACGGCTATAAAAGTACTTTCTTGTACATTTTAAACAGATGCCGCAAGGCACAAAGGTTGATGACCGCACACCCCATATCGTTATGACTAAGTATATTTATTAATCATACGATCAATATGTGGTTTATGCCACAAATGAGTGAGTTATATACACTACGGAGTCATGCCGCTCACTGACAGATAGGGGGCATGGGGATAGCCTGTTATCTAATAATACCCACACAATTATAGTAGATCCCAGCACACTCACCTCCTCTGGCAGCGTCACCAGATTGGCATTCTCCTCGTGGCGACTGCGCTCCACCTTTAGCTTTTGCGCCTTGGCCTTGAGATCCTTGGGATGCGGCGTATTCTGGCGCACGAAGGGCGTGTCCTTCTCCTGGGTGGCCTCCTCCGAGAACTTGACCACCGTGCGCGACGGCTCTCGCTCCTCGAACGGTTCCGAATCCGATTCCAGATCGCGTGCTATATTTATGGAGAAAACGGGCGAAAAATCGAAAGAAGAATTCCATTAGCAAACAATTAATTGAGGTATACGATGTGTGTGTGTGTTTCTGGGTTTCGAATACAGGGTCTCAGATTAGTGGAACTGCATGCCCATGCATACACACACAATCTACTATTAAATGTACTATATAATATAAATGTATATGTATGTACGTATTAAGAGTGTTATTTATTATATACAAACAGATTTATGTCTGGCCAAAAGCGCTTAATGGTGTACGGATTTTGGGTTTGGGGTTTTTGCACAAATCAATAAATAATACGACTATTAAAAGCGAGAAGAAACTATTTTTAGGCGCCGGGCGTAAACATTTCCGGAGCAGCAAGTGGCAGCAGGCCAAACCATACCACTCCTCCCCCCCTAGAAAACCTGGACACAACCACAACTACCACTACCACACCCTCTCTAATCCATCAAGTGCTTATGAGCGGTCTTTTGTGTGTGTTTGTGTGTGGCCGTAAATTTTCACACATGTAAACAACATAAAGTTGCAACATGTGGCAATCAGAGAAGCACCTCTCAGCCACAGCCACACAGTCTCAGCCTCCTGCCCCACCAATCAATCTACGCAGCAATTGCAGGCGCCCCCTTCCTCTGTTCATGTCGTGGATGGGTGGCTGGGTGGTTGGGTGGTCTGTTTGTTACAAACAAATAAACAAGAAATTAATTATAGATTCGTGTAGTCGATGCTGCTGATACCCTTTCAGAACTATGAAACATATGACGAAATTATTGCCCGCGTATCCTCAGAGGGAACGCATAATCGAACGAGGAGTGCTAATGCATGACGCGCGACAAAATATGTATATTAGACATTTTGTTGAAATATCTTTGGAAACAAACACTTTTCATTGGTTTTCTCTACCAAAAATATATATAGAATCTGTACAGATATAGTGAATCGATCCAGGGGATTATTGGAATTAAATTGATAAATCTGTGATATCTTACTGTCAGATATTTTCACAATTGAGGGTCTAGTTCTCATGCAAACAGTATCAAGGGCTCTACAATGATTCCTCCTGTGACTTGTAATCATCTCTATAAACATCTCCCCAGAGTTCCCTCTTCAAGAGTACAATAAATGTATGTAAATCATTGTTTATGGCACTTCCGTAAGCCAGGGCCGTGTGTCCTAAGTAGCTGCATCCACATTGTCGTAACTTACAATCGTTAACGATTTTTGCATAGACAAATACTCGGTAGAACAACAGCCATCAACGCAGCAGGGAGGGACACACACAACTTAAATAAACTGAATTTTTGTGGGTCAGCCAAGGCGACATCCCATACGATACGACATACATACATATATGAAGATTTATGCAAATTAAATAAACAGAAAGAAACAACAAGTTGTAATGACAATAATTTAAAGTCATGGGGCGCGTTAGGTGATGCTTCCTCCTGCTCTTCCATGACCGTCACTCAAAAGAGCTTTAATTGGATAATTTGAACGACGACGCTTACATGGCTCTCAAATATAATACCTACTCGTATATAGTAATAGGCGGCGGGGGGTCTCTAGACTCGTCGCAAACAATGAAAGCCAAAGCGGTTTGATCTTGAAATCGTTCACACATATGTCTAAATTGTTTGAGTTATGCGAGGTTCCATAAGGCTGTTTGTGCACTTAATCCGTCATTGGTTTGGATTGAATGGATCCGATCGGCAGAGAAATAATAAGTCAAATATTTCGAGTCTGAGACGAGTTTTTGTTGCTTGGTCAGCTGGGGCGAGATCTATGCTGATGATATATACTATTTATAGGCTGAGCACTTCTTCAATGCGACAAAAAACCCGTTTCGAAGCCAAATAACAGTTACGACATATAGATAGATATTCATTTCGATTGGGGAAGGAACTACGCAACAGATTGGCGACCACAAAACAGCAAAAGCAACAGAAACACCAACAACTACAGCACTAACAGGTTGAATCATCAGTGGATGGCAGGCACAGTGAAGACTCTACAAGGGGAACTAAGACTCTAAACTAAACTCTGAAAATTTACATACAAAGAAAAATCTGTATCATAAGGATACTATTTGAATTTCACGTTTTATCAAAAAATATCGAATTTTCATACACAAATCGGTTTTAAACATCAATCTTGTACTAAAAATTGAGAAAATCTGAATATTTACCTCAGATTTCATTCTAATATATTAGCTGCAGATTATCTTTTGCATAAAATGATTGTTTATAGAATATTACAATAAATAATTGCAGCTGAGCAGATATCTAAGATATATCGAAATTGCAGCGATAATATCGTTTAGTGCTAAGCTAGACCTACAGCCAAAACTATTTAGATATATAACACAGTTGCTACTACACTTCATGGAATAGGCGTGCCATCGTAGCCCTCAAAGCCATATCCCACTGTAAACCCCCCCGTGTGACAGGCCATTAATCAACCGTTAGTTTTGGTGGCACACATACACACACACACACACATTGTGAGCACTCGAAAGACGATTAATAATAATATTAACCAACGCAGCGTCATACCCAATTCTAATTACATTGCCCGACGATCTTGTTCCACATTCTCTTCCCAATCGACTCGCCCCACCACTCCCTGCCATGACGTCACACAATCGTTGACATCACTCAAGTGCTTCTGAATGGGGAAAAGAGTGGGGTGAGGTAAGATGGGGGGATACTCTTTGCACCAGAAGCCAAACAGACACACTTTTGGTGAGTGTGTGCAGCATGGAAGATAAATGGAAATGGATCGTAGCAAAAGCCGCCGCATTTGCAGCCAACAAACAAATCGTCTGTGTGGGGCTGTGAGGCGGCCTGTGGGGACCGCTTTGATCATCTGGCATGCTGCCACTGACACGACAGCCAAAACTGTTCAATCAGAGAGGGCGCAGAACAGGAGATCCAGATTCAAATACAAATCAGAGATGCCCCATTTGCCATTCCTCAAGTGGGAGGAACTGGACTGGGGCTCGCGTTTTGGATCTCACGCACTGTGGAAAATTCTGGCATTTTTCAGTACCAGGCCGTCAAATGAATGGAACATAAACAGAAAATAATAACATAATCAAATCATAAAACACAAATCGGCACACACTTTTACCGTCCATCTATCAATATAAACATACATATATGTATATACAAATATTCTGTGGGTGCGTGTGCCTCAGATATCAGATATTGGGGAATATTTTCCCAGCCAACGCCCGGGCCAAAGATTGTTACTACACAAACAAAAAAAAAAAAAACCGAAAACTAGTTGTCATGACGTCATTTGTTGGTAGAGAGACGGAGAGACCGGTTTTTGTTTTGGTTTTCAAAACACTTAACGAAACAAGCATTGACAATGGCCTAATGCTGGCCAGGCCAAGATGCGTTTCAAAGACAAGTTTTTTTTTTTTTTTTTGTTAGAACTATGATCTAAGAAGAGCTTTGAGAAAAAGGAAAATACTGGGATATGTTCTTCTTTCATCTCTCTTTCATTTTTTCAACTGAAAAACTTAAGAGTTGATGCTAAAGCTGAGATCATCTATTTCCAAGTTTCTAAGTTTCTTCCAACGTAAGAGCTTCAAGTTGCCTATGAAACATTGCCACAAAATCAAAGCGAGAGATGTGTACATACAACATGATCGGTTATGGTTCTATAAGCATCATACAGACACACATATAACTATACACAATTATCTATCTGAGTTAGCATTCAAAGCAGAGAGACATGCAAATGTTTTGGGGTCAGGGCATGCTATGAACGGCGAGTCTTGAGAGTAGAGTTGTCACCAGAGTGCAAGTCACAATTCTACTCTATTTAGACATCTATTAAATGTACAAAATGCTGATAGATATGTAGCTGTGTTCACACAAAAACAACGAGGTAATACATAACGCAAACCTTTCTGTTGATAACTGAAGAATTCCATTGAATCGAATTTTTCGCTTGATCTGTATAGCGTCGTGGGTGGATAGTCTTTCGATTGATTCGATTGATTGGATGATCGACACACACACACACAGATAGAGCGAGAGATTGACATTTGGAAGGTGGGTGGGTTGATGGAGTGAAGGACGTGTGGTGCAGAGTGTTTGCAAGGAGAGCGCGTGATGTGGCAGATTGTAAAGAAAGTAATCCAAAAATAAAGTCAGTAGGATAAAAATTAAGGAAAAAGGTGCACAAAGCACAGATTTTAATAGATATTTAGTTACACAAGGGAAAGTAAACTTGCTGGAGGAAATTAAAGATACATATACATATGTAAGTATTTAGAAGGGCAACAAATTAAATTAGAAAATCTTTGCCAGTTTGGAATTTGTTCCCCCCCAAAGAGAGAGAGATAGTGAAAGGTTCCGCTACACATTTATCGTACGCAGAGCTCTTTCGAAAAGCAGCTTATTTCTGTTTGCGATGTTTGCTCACTTGGCTCGCCCGCTCTCTGCTTCAGTACGTAAGTGCACTTGGAGAAATATTCTCTGTGAAAGTTATTATACATATATTTTTTCAAAATATTAGAGCTTTGGGAACTTTCAAACTTCTTGCGTTTATTTTTGTACGTTTCTGAATGTCAAAGTTATTATGGGCTTGAATTTGTTTAATTTATTTAATTTTATTTCATTATTGGAAATGTTTTTTTTTTTGTTTTTAGCTGCTTTATTTTTGTTAAAATTATTTCATTTTTATTAAATTGATTTTAATATACATTTCTGAGTAAAGAACTGATTTTCCGCTTGTACAAATATTTTTCTTTGAGTGCACCACAGCACCACGGGTGGGTGCTATCTTATCGCGGAAATGCGAGCATAGATTGAAGATATTGCACAACGATAGGGGACAAGGGACAGTGGAATAGTGCCGCGTCAATGGTGTTTTGTGGAATCTATGTCAGCAGCAGATAAGAGGGCGCATAACTTGGCCAAAATTGGGCTTTCCACTGCCGTGGCCAAACAGAGGCCAAAGCGAACAAACAGCGCACAAGCCATGTAGAGCCCATAAACCATTCCATAAATGGTAGATTTTTGTATTCCCCCACTTTCTGGCAAAGCTCACCTGGTGTAATGGGCTGGTACTCCTGCTGGGGCAACAGGTAGCAGGAGAGCACCTGCTCGCCCGTCTCCGTATCCGTGTCCGGCTGGAAGGTGAGCAGCGGCTGCGACTGGTTCTCCGAGAGCCACACAGCCTTCAGCTGCAGATTGACCAGGGAGTAGGGCAGATACAGCAGCTGATTCCCACTCACATCCAGCACATGCAAAACGGTGCAGTTGCCCAGCTCTGGGGGCAGCCTCTTCAGCTTGTTGTCGCGCAAACTGAGGACACCCAAATTGGTGCACTGCCCGATCTCCAGTGGCAGATACTCCAGGGCATTCCGATCCACATTCAGATTGCTCAACTTCGTCATCCGCCCAATGGAGGCCGGCAGCTCCGAGAGGAAGTTCTCTGTTAGGATGAGCTCCTGCATGTTGTCGCAGCTGAAACGCAGATACATTAGAGATTAGAATAACGTATCTGGCGGACGGGTTGCTTGCTACTTACTTCCCCAGGGTATCGTTCAATCGCTGCAATCGATTTTGGTCCAGTTTGAGGATGGTCAGGCGACTCAGTTTCGCAATGCCGTCGGGCAGGGTCTCGAGCAGATTCTGTGCCAGATCGAGGTCCGTGAGGCTAACCAGTCCGCTGATCTCGTTGGGCAGCTCCTCCAGCCGATTCTCGGAGACATCGAGGTACGTTAGTTTTGTCAGCAGCCCCAGCTCTGGGGGCAGACGCTGCAGTTGGTTGTGATCCAGCCAGAGCTCGTGCAGCCCCGGCAGATAGCCCAGATACGGGGGCAGATCTTCGATTTCGTTGTCGCCCAGATCGAGGCGTTTTAGCTTCGTCAGCTGGCTTATTGTCTCGGGCAGATGCTTGAGCAGATTCTCGCGCAGCTCCAGCGACTCGAGCTGTGTGAGGCTGCCAAAGTCCGCTGGCAATGTGGTGAGCGACATGTCGTTGAGCCCCAGGATCGTAAGGTTCTTCAGCTGTGTGAAGCCCGATGGCAGTTTGGGTATCGGGTTCGAGCTAAAATCCGCCACCTGGAGGCTCTGCAGATGCTTGATGTCATCGGGAATGTCGGGTATGT